TCCAAACGGCCTATCCCCTTAAAGTCTAGTACGCTATTAATGGATAGACAACTAAACTCATGGTTTTATTTCTTCACATTCCCTCTTGTCTTACTCTCTTGACTACTCCAACTATTAAGTTCCTTGCACTTCTATTATTGTTCTGTATATGAATATGTATATATATATATCAATTTCAAATTTCATTAGTTACTTGGTTATACGTTTTCCTTCTTTTTATTTTTAAGCGAACATAACCCACACTGATTATATCTGCTGTTATTATCTTTCTTTTTGATGATGGCAAACGACCAACCGGTGAAAGGATCAGATCCATTCACATTAGTAGCACACTCTCAACAAACCACACTCTACAACCAACAAATAATTAATTTCGGCACCGCTCCTTTGGAACCAACCAAAGCGACGACAGTCGACTGGCTAGACTATTATTAGTATCTCTTTTCTTTTGACGACAATACCGGAGGACTAACTGGTGAAAGGATCAACTCCATTCACAGTAGTAAAAGCCTTAACACACCGTATACTACAGACGACATATAATTAATCCCAGCACTACTCTTTTTGGAGTCAACCAAAGCTACGAAAGTCAAATGGCGGGATGAACTACGCAGAAGTTTAGCGAAGATCAGGGACCTTTACCTCACAATCAAGAGGTGAGCACAAAGAAATTAAATAAGTTTATACTAGCTCGCAAAAACAACATTGGATATTGGATTTTGATAGGTCACTCTGACCCTGACAGCTTTTTCAAATATTGTGAGTAAAGGCATATTTTTAATGCATTTCTGGGAGATTTTCCAGGAAGTTGGCATTATTAGCCTAAAACCCTTTTAAGTAGTTTTATGTTTTGACACACAAAATTAGACTTTATATCTTCAGCTTCTGTATAATCGCTGTAGATATTAGTAAATGGCAGATCTACGTAATTTAACAAACTGACAATGTTACTTGTTCTTTGTTGCAACAGAATTCATGCTTTTCGAGAGGAGTGAATTTCGGTTAATTTCGTCGCATAGTTTCTTCAAAAACAATGAAATTATGTATGAACTGTCAGAATTTGTATATATTTATATAATATATAAATCCAGACTTTTCAAAAACATTCTGCTCCTAGACCTACGTTTATTTGTTGGTCTTCGAAATTTAATTATAATGTACCTTAGAAAGGACTAAACTTTAACATAACTCGAAAACCACTGACCGCGATAGAATTAGCTCCCATCATGGAACCTATATTAACTCTTTTAACTGATGATGAAGCTAATGAATTACGTCAGAAGGTTGGATGTATCCTATCGAATCAAAAGCAGGGTATCTCAAATTTGTCGAAGACCGAACGTCATGCATTACAAACATTAAGATCAGATAACTAAAGCTCCCAAGACAAACACGGCCGCGAGATTTTATGGAAGGCCGAAAATACATAAAATAGATGTTCTTTTAAGACCAATAATTGATTTTACGAATTCAGTAACATATACTTTATCAAAATACATATCACGAATACTGAAACCACTTCAATACAATATTCCTTCGAACATCAAAAATATTGAGGAATTTAAAAGGAAAGTAATGGACATAATTATTGAGGAAGACGAAATTATGGCAAGTTTTGATGTGGTTTCTTTATTTACTAATATTCCTATTTGTGATTCACTCGGTATTATGAAATATGAACTTGAAAACAATCAAGAAGTATTAACTAAATCTTTATTATCAATAGATGAAGTTATAAAATGCTAAAAACTTTGTTTGGAATCTACATATTTTACCTTTAAGGACAAATTATACTGTCAAACAAATGGAGTTGCAATGGGTTCACCAGTATCTCCAATTGTAGCTAACCTATATATGAAAACCCTAGAAAAGAAAGCATTGACAAGTTTTAGTTGTCATCCTAGAATATGGTACAGGTATGTAGATGACACATTTATCATCATATAGAAAGCTGAAAAAGAAAACTTTCTAACAGAAATCAACTTAATCTCAGAATATATTGAGTTTACTAATGAAATAGAATCGGCTGAGGGAACTCTAAACTTTTTTGATTGTCTTGTAAAAAGACAAACTGACGAGAAACTGAAGTTTACCATATACAGAAAGCCGACACATTCCAACAAGTATTTGAATTTCCAATCAGATCATCCAATAGGAATGAAAGTTTCAGTAGCTTTAAATCTCGTTAACAGAGCTAGAAACATTATAACAGATAATGACGATATGGAGAACGAGATATCCAACATAAAACAGATTTTGATTGGAAATGGTTATCCTGAAAAGCTACTATATAATGTTATCAATAGAAAGGAGCATAAGGGAAAACAAAAAAATTGAAAAATCCTGGCTATCGACGATAGCCATCCCATACCGAAAGGACACAGCTGAACAACTTCAAAGACTGTTTGCCTCATATAATATTAAAGTCTATGTCAAACCTAATTCTCTGGAGAAAGCGTTAGTGCATGTCAAAGATATAGTTCCCAGAATGTCACAAAGTAATTGTATCTACAAGATGGTGTTCAGAATGTGATGCATGCTATATAGGGGAGAGCAGTAGGCAGGTGAATGTCAGAGTGAATGAACTTAGACTATGCACGAAACGTCCACCTAGAAATGAAGTAGAACTAAAAAGTCTAGAAAAAAGATCGGCTATAGCAATGCATGCTATAGACAGCGGACATAGGATTGATTTCGACAATGTTGAAATTCTTGGAAGAGGATTTCATTCACATAAAGAAAGATTGACTTCTGAAGCCTTGCACATCTTAACCACATCAAATGCAGTGAATAGGAAAGATGGGATAGACTTATCACCTATATGGCAAACTCTTATGAAGCAAGACAAATGAAAAAATCAACAAACACTCTATGAGCCTCCATGACCTTTCAAAACATATAGGATCATGTTTATCATATATGAATTCACGTATTTGCCATATGACAAATAACATACATACACACACACTCATACAAAACTAATCTGTACAAATTAACTATAGAAGAGTGAACACAACAACTTGACATTAGTCATTACAAATATATGTGATGACTGCTTACATATTTTCTATTGGTAAAAATGTCCATGGACAAATGACCTTCAAATAAACTGACTTTAATTTTGTAAAAATTTTTGACTATATATTTTGATAATTAATAAAAATCCGAATAAATCTGCTGAAGAAGCTGTGGCTTACACAGCGAAACGTTCAGAAAAATTTTGTTTTGATTTTCTTAACACGCTGGGATTAATTTAAATAATTTATAATGAATCAATCTGACTCGGCGCTCAAATTATTCCAGGAAGTTCGTAACACCTACGGCCTGGAAACCTATATACTCTTTAAGGTTGAAAGGGGTTAAATGCTACATGATTAACCCACTTTACCCATATTGGCCACTTTTTCCTCGTTTGCCCATATTCCGAAAAAATTTATTGTCCCACTTTACACAATTTTTAACGGAAAACTGCCCACGTTTTTACCCATATGTCCCAGGTCTAAAAAATTCTCCGACAGGGGCAGCCAGTTAAAATAGGGAAAATTTTATTTCGAAAGAAAGTGGAGAAAAGCCTGCGGGCACACAATGACGGAGTTTTTCTGCTGTACACCTGTGTTTCCCAAAGGATAGAAATAGTAGAAGTAGCGGATACAGAATACAATAGAATAAAGGCAGTTGCCTTTACCAAAGTATTACAGGTGCGTTACCATTAATCCGTGGCCCCTACTCTTGTTTCAGCCACTAGAAAAACTTGTTGAATTCCAATTTACTGAATTCATTCATTCTCACTATCATGTTATTGCAATAATATCGTTTCTATCAAGTGGAGATAAAACTTTTATCCTACAGAACTATTTAGAACCAACTAATTACTTGAGTATAGAAAATAGAGTGCACAAACGTGCTGACAACTGAATTTTAGTAGTTGCGTTGACGCTCATATGCAGGTTGTTGAGGGACTTTCAGCATAAATGCAATGACTACTTTAGCACTTGGTATCATGTTTTATCACGCTTGTAACTTCTATTTTCGTATCAGTTGGCGGGTAAGCCGCATGAAAGTTGGTTTAAAGTTGTCAAATTTTGCATTTGAGAAAACTGTCTTAGAAAAGGATTTCTTATCACTGTGCTGGAGTGAGATGTAATCTAAAAAATCATAGTCTACCTGTCGTGGTCCGAAAAAGATTTCAACCGAAGAAATACTGGATTTATGAACTTATGTATTCTCAAAAATAAGGATAGCAGCGATCTATGAAGTATGTCGTTGGTGATTTGAGTTATATAGACATATGTTTTTATTTTTAGATTCTTCAGGAAACAAAGAACCGAAAAATAAAGACATATGCTGACAATCTAAAGTGTTTCTATTAACAAGTTTCTGCCTATCAGTATTATGAAAAGTGGTCGTGCATAACGGTTTCTTCAAAAAAGGCCTTTAAATTACGTATTTCTAGGCTAGTTAGTTGAAGGGTAGTTCATGAATTGATTAGTAAAGGAGAAGTCTATTAACTGAAATATACTTTCTAAAAAAGCTATCATAATGAGATGCACAAACGTCTTAGCATGTCTGATCTTCTTTGAAGAGTTATGTGGGAATATAATATTCCTTGATAAATTTCGATAAAGAAAGGAAGACGAAATTTGCAGTTATATAATTGGAATATAATATCTTTTCTCCTCCCGCATTTCATTTTATCGACTAACCTAAATCATCTGAAGCACATATGCTATATTTCAACTAGAAAATAGGCTTGCCAAAATGCATAAAATAAGTAGGTCCTGAAATATTTTCCACTTCGTTCCGAAGATATCGAGTTTCTAGTATCTCAACCTGTCAAAAGGAGAGTCGTTATTCTTTTGTCTTGGATAGTAATGTGGGCCTCGAGGTGTGTCTTTATTTTTATAAAAGTTGGTTATGTTTCTTACCATTTTTAAATAACTGCTTGGTAGTATATGTGCGGATGGGAATGCACTACATAATCATACTTTTCTCCTTTTCAGGTAAAATGTGTTTTAAATTAGCATGAGGATCCAACATATTAAATACTAAGATGAACTTCTGATTAATAAACAAAGCTACATATATGATAGCAAACCCACATATCTGTTTTATTTCATGCATGCGAAAACGGTAACCATTCGCCAAGCATTTTGCCATGGTTTGTGGTCACCAACTAAACCCGATTTCCTTTTCGCTCTTGGCTGTCTTCCCTCTTGTGAGCAACACACAGCTTTGCGCTATGCTTACCAACGTGATGTATTGAGCTCAATGGTAAGTTGGAGTAAATACATATTTGAATGCGCGTTCATAGGTTGGGAAGTTGCTTATTCGTGGAACGGCTGTACGACATTTTGGAATTCCTCCGTGTAACGTTAAACTGGAACGTTCATCTGAGGGAAGACCTTATCTGGTAGATCATTATGACAAGCTAGACTTTAATATATCACATGGTGGTGATTTCACCATTATTGCAGCAACTTCTGAGGGAAGATGTGGCACCGATGTCATGCGCATTGAGCTACCACGTAAGCTTAATTTTGTTTTTTCATTTTACCTAGACTACACCACTTAATTGATTTTATAGGTTAAAGTGGATTAAATTATTGCAATCCATTGACTTGGTATATGGTGATACGCTAAGTATTTGGTTATATTTTTTAAGGTTCTTTTATAATGCCAGATTACCTAGGCCAAACCCTGCTTCTATGAAAGTGGAGTGCGTAAGCCAATAAGTCAAGCTATATACAGAAGAGCCCAAACAATGCATCAGCAGTCACAACTGTACAGAATTTCATCATTTCGGGTTGTCAGACTTAATCAGCACAGAAAAGTTGATGGTCAATTCCGTTCACTTTGAGCCATTACCAATAATCATTAATCCTTGATTATCAATGTCTCCATTACCCTCGCCAAGCGACCAACACTTAACAACATCGTTTGAATCAGTAGACAAAATTTTCATGTTTAAGTGTCATTTTTCAGTCTTATTATCATTATTCCCTTAGGTTTCGAGTGGAACATAGGGATTCAACAACACATCTCCACTTTGTTATATTTTCTGCTGTCCTCTTTAGATGGTCTCACGATTGTTCATAATCTATCATCTCTTCGCACGATCTCCTCCTTGTCACCCTAGGACGACCCACTTGTCGTTTCTCATATGTATTCCACCCGAATGATGGCCTGCATTGAGCGCGATGTTATTCGACAGCCTCCTTAATGTATGCTCAATCCATCTCCATTTTCTCCTACATATTTGTTGAACAATCGGCTCTTTGTTGGTTTGTTCCCACAGTTTCTTGTTACTAATTCTTTCTGACCATTTGATCTTCAGTATTGGACCAGCGAAGGCAGCTGTTGATAAAAGTCTGCAGCTGGCTGTTGCAAATGGTTTTCGTGATGTGCCGTGCACGTTTATCACCCACAAAGAAGAACTGGCTGACTTAACATTGTTGTTGGAAATCCGAAACTTATTCTGAGTGCATAAGATTTCCAAACTGGTTTCAAGTTGATGAAGCTGTATCTTGCCTTTCTGATTCTGCCTGGCTTTGACATCTTCATCCGTTCCACCTGCAGTTAAAACGATGCTTCCTAGATAAGTGAAGGGGGTAACCTCTGTTAAATCTCTCCCGTAGATGGTGGTTAGTGCTGGTTGTTGTTGTTGTTGATGGTGATTGGTTATCTTCATCACCTCCATCTTCTCTATGTTCACCCGGAGTCCTATCTTCGCTGCCAGCCTCTCCAGCCAGTTTGCCACTTTTCGCCTGTAAGTCCTCGAGTTGGTGTGACATTGGACATATATCATTTGCGAAATCCATATATTCTAGAGTCTTCTTATTGGTCTCCTCGCTCCCATGCACAGTCCGATACATAATCCAGTCCACCACGATTAAGAATATCATCGGTGATAATAGTCAGCAGTCTTGTCTCACCCCTGTATGCATTTCGAACACCTCACTGAGTGTTCTGTTGTGGATCATCTGACGCGTGACATTGTCATATAGCCGTTGAATGAGGTTGATAAAGACTTGAGGCATGCTGTAGTACTGAAGTAGTTTACAAGTTACTTCTCAGTCAACGCTGTCTGTCTAAGGCCTTTTCGAAGTCGATGAAGTTGGGGCAGAGAGAGATTTGACTGCCATTCTATGCTTTGTTGTGTGATGACGATGCGTAGAGTTGCGATTTGATCAGCACATGATTTGCCTTTCCTGAATCCAGCTTGTCCCGGTGGGTGGCGGAGTTCTTTATCCAGTACATCCAAGTCGTCCTTCTTTAGTAGCTTGTCGAGGTAGCCTTTCTTCAAGTTCATAGGTACCTTTGCTTCTTTCTCAACCTATTTCAGTGGCACAGTGGTTAGGACTCTCGCCGACCATGCACATGGTCCGGGGTTCGATCCCCTGCCGGCGCACACCCGATATCTATGGTCGGCCTGTATATTTGGGCTACCAATATCCATGCTGAAAATTCCATACTTGTACTGAAAATACGGTGTGGAATCAAGCTGTAGTCAAAACAAAAATAAAAAAGTAATGGCGTGAGCACATCTGCCACAGTCTCTGGGTCTGTTTCCAGTGCTTCGGGGGTAACTCCGTCTGGGCCTGCTGCCTTCCCGGTTTGTCTTGATAGCATTTAGGAATTCTGCTTCCGTTGGAGGATTGACGTCCACTGGCAGTTCTGTGCGTACTGTTGGTGATATTTGTGGGCGAGTTGCAGGTGACGGTCGATTCAAGAGTCCTTTGAAGTGATCAGCCCATTGTTTTATTTGTCTCTCCTCCTTGGTATTTAGGTTCCCTTGATCATCTTTTGTAGGTTTCACCTGCTTTGGTCTTTTCTTGCATTGAGATGTGGTTATCTGGTATAACGTTTTAAGGTCTCTTTTACCAGCGCCCTGTCTGTTCTGCTTCAGTTGCCAGTGTGTCGTAGAATTGCTTCTTATCTTTCGTAGCACTCTTCTTCACTTCTTTATTCAGTGCGATGTACATTAACTCAGCTTCCCTTTCTGTTGTTCATCTTTCCATTGGATCATGTGTTTCACCATCCTCCTCTCTTCTATTAGCTTCAGCCTAAGCATAATTTTCGATAAAGAAAGGAAAACGAAATTTGCAGTATAAAATGATATCATTCTATTTCACAGGTTCTCATCAGCTGCAGACTACCTGAAATTACAATGGTTATATAAATGATAATAACATACTTTAATGTTTGAGTAGTAGTAGAGAAGAGATAAAATTGACGCATCCAAAAAAGAATGAAAGCATTACAATTTTTAGTTGAAGTTATCATCATCAATTTTTACACTTTCAGAGTTGAAAAGGGGGGAGGGGTAAGACAGAAATCAGAAAAATTGAGTAACAGAAACAGTGTTAGCTTGTAGGTTCACATGGCAACTCCAAAAAACAAAAGCATTTACAGTTTATAAGATTGAGATTTGCTCAGTGAGTTGAGATCACTGAATTAGATGACTAATCAAAATCAAAATTCAGTTACCAAGGGAGTGAGAGGTTAATCACACTCTCTTTCTGTATGCATAAGTATGGTTTAAATCGTTTGATTGCGATCGCTTCGGCAAATCGTAGTAAATTTGCTGTCCTTTGTCTATTTAATATTTTGAAGGACTTAGAAATCTCTACGAGATGTCCGGTATCAACAATATGTCTGGTAATTGCACTCTGAGAATATTTGCTTCCTTTCAGGCATAGGTTTCTTGGAATATGTTCAGAAAACCGGATAGAAGCTCTTCTTTCTGTCCTTCCAATGTACTTGCTCCCGCAAGTGCACGTAAATTCATAAACGCAGTTGGAGGTGACATCAGCAGGGTATTTATCCAGTTTTGAGTTGATCATGGAAGGAGTGGTGTTGTATACTGTTATGAGTTTTGCTGCCGGGAAGCTTCTATTTATTACTCCTTTCAGTCTTCTGTCAATCTTTTGTGAAACTGCATCTCCTTTGAATGGGAGACAAATAAACACTTTTTTCTTTTCTACAGTTGGGTGTTTTTCTTTCTTATCTTTTTCTCTGCTATACTTCTGTATAAATCCTTTAGGGTATCCGTTTTCCCTCAGGCATTTCTCGACGAAATCTAGTTCTTCTTCGACCTTGTTTGGTGAACATAGCTTCCTGGCTCTGTCGTACAAAGTCCTCACTAATCCACGTTTATAGCTTATGGGACAAAAGCTGTTATAGTGAAGATATTGTCCAGTCCAGGTTTCTTTTCTATAGATGGACTTTTCAATCATGCCTTCGTTTGTTCATTTTACATTTAGATCCAGGAAATTGAACTCATTTTTATGCTCATATTCCATGGTAAACTTGATATTTGGATGAATCTCATTTAGGCGATCATATAATGCCGATGCGTGATCCATGTCGTTGCAAACAACAAATGTGTCATCAACATATCGGCGATAGTAGGTTGTTCCATTGATAGCAGAACTTAGTTGTGTCTGTTCTAGGTAGCCCATGAAGATATCAGCCAGGATAGGTCCCAGAGGTGAACCCATAGCGACCCCATCAATTTGTCGGTAGAGTTGATAGTTGAATTTGAATTGTATATCTTTTGTGCAGAGCAGCAGTAGTCGCTTCATCTCTGTTTCCGGTAACGGTAGTAGATCCGTTTGTTTACAAATAATATCAATCGTTTCCATCAGTGGTACGTTTGTGAACAAGGAGGTCACGTCATACGATACCATGAGTTTGTCTGATATGTCAATGTTGTCAACTTCCTTGGAGAATTGGTAGCTATCCTTCAGGCTATGGGTTGCAAATTTAATTCGAATTGGCTCTATGGAATCAGCTAACCATCGAGCTAACTTGTGGCATGGTGAGTCAATCATTGACAAGATTGGTCTTAAAGGCACGTTTGCTTTATGGATTTTTGGTAGGCCGTACATAGACGGCAGGCGTCCACCTTTTGTAATGCTTCATTTTGGATGCGTCAATTTTATCTCTTCTCTACTACTACTCAAACATTAATGCAGCTGATGAGACTGTGAATAGAATGATATCATTTTATACTGCAAATTTCGTTTTCCTTTCTTTATCGAAATTTATCCTAAGCATAATTTATTTGTTAAGTCTAGTATTACTTTGGCTAATACCGTTTATTTTGGGAAGACGTTTTCTCAGTACAGAATCTTCTATAGGCTAAAATTTGATGCAAATTAGTCTTGTTATCCTACCTACGACCAGAGTGAACCTCATGCCAAAGTTATTTAGATTTTTCTAAAAGCACTATCGCAACATGTTGATCTAACAGAACTATGTGAACTGTATAGTAAACCAACTTTCTCCTTGGCAGCAAGTCAATTTTTCAGGAGTCATAGTCAAATGCAGTGACTAACATCAAGATATCTTTACTACTTTTCAGCAGAAAATGTGAAATCATTTATTTCTGACAAACACCGTTAGTTGTTGTTTCGGAAAACAACTCTCAGTAAGTTCTGACACTAGTAGAGTTCATTTATTAACATAACACTTTCTGGGGACATTCTAAAATCAGTACTGAGATAATACATTGCTGATCTTCATCGATTCCAGCTTTCCAATTGAAAAACATGAGAGTTATTGGACACTGTTAAATATACATATGCCCATAACCTTTCGAACAATGAGGATCTAATCAGCGATCCTCTTCCAACCTATAAGCAATTATGAACCCTAGAGTCGTAGATAAGTATTAGTCACGTTAACTTCAACTATTTTTCACAACTGGATGTATGTTCCCTTTATGAGTTTAGATTTTCACTCGTCTGTAACAGTCTGAATTCACTGGTCAACTATTATCCTAGTTAGTTTGGTCAGTAATTCTTTGCCACTGTTTTCAAATTCATGTAGTCATACGGTGAGTTTCTACTGCTCTGCGTTGTTACAAACTTGTGACACCATAAACATCTGTCAGAGTTAAAAAAAACCAGCATATACATCCTATTTAGGTCGCAGTTGGATAGCGTTCAGTTGTATTCCAGTTGAACTGCATCTTGATGCGTCCTTTGCAGCATCTCAGCTGGCTTCGCCTGTATAGCAAGTCGAAATAGCTGGTGAACATGACCTAATTCTAATTCCCGACAACTGCTTGCAGCGATTACTGAGACTTAGTCGATTGAAGTAGCTCTCACTCCTTTTGATTTCCCGTACTAATCTTGCGAAAATCTTTTCAAATGAGATTAGGAGAATTCACAGGCTTTTATTCATCTTTAGTTAAAATTCATCCAATGTCTTCAGTGCTACTTGCACGAAAGACCTGATGTGGTCAGAGGTTTCTCCAGGGTGTGTCACTTTTATTTTCTAACAAGTGTTTAGTGAACCATCTCTTGAAGGGAGAGTTATAAGTTAAATTTATGCGTTAGTTACTTAATTTTCTCATCGATGCCTGCTTCATGTACCCATTCAGCTGCAAATACATACCCACTCACGGATGTATTGTTGCTTAGACACCACGCTGGTGGTCAAAAGGGACCGGTAGTGTATCTGTCTCCTTCATTGATATCTTTTGGCAAAATGATTTGTATTCGTTGCTAGTTTAATACCGGATATTACCGAGATAAGATCCTCTAAATGTATAAAGATGAGGTTGACTAATCGCCGCTGTTAGTTTGGTGACATAGGGATGAGTACCTATCCCCTATTGCCTTTTTGAGACAGGATTTAAATGTTTAAAGTACTAGTATGGAGTTATCCGTGTGACTAAAAATATCGTTGGTGATAGTAAGAAAACCAATAGATTACAGGATTTCATCATGAGCTGATATCGGTTAGACAGCTGTTTCGTCCTATTTTAGGACTTTCCACCACCTGGGTTCGAACCCAGGACCTTCCGGTTACAATGCGATGTCTGCGCATGATGAAATCCTGTAACCAATCAAATTAAATCCCTGCAAACCAACACTTGAAAACCAATAGATGTTGAAGGGACTCTGTAACAGTATATGATAGGTGAAGAACAAATGAGTCTTGTGTTTTGATAGAAGCGTGCAGGCGGTAAATATTTCCTGACGTTCCGTATCATTGACGTTGATTACTCCTTAAACTTACCCAACACGGATATAGGGTTAGTTTCTCATGACTACAGAACCCAGATAATGCAGAAATAATTCAGTAAGTACATTTTAAATGTACATAGACAAAGACCTCAAAGCAGCGGAAGCATTATTAAGGTTGCAGTTCAGTTAACATGAAGGTGAGTCACAGAATTACGATTTATTATTCATTAGGATCACTGCTCCATAGCATAACGTGGCTGTGCAACTTAAGCAAACAATCTCTTTAGAAAAAATTGATTTTTCCTGAACTATTAATTTTATTAGTCGTCCTCTTGAAAAATGCTCTCACCAATCTCTACAGCAAATCAGGGACGTTTTGGCTTTTGGTGTCGATATTTGTAAACCTTGTGAATTCTAAACTTCAATTTTATTCTTAACCATTTCTTAGCATCCCAGACATCTGTTAGAGACTTTGCATTGAAAATGAAAAGCGTCTTTTCCGCGATAGAATTGGATCGTATTTTATCGCCTGATTGTGAGAGTGAACGAATAAAACGTTTTTATGAACACTGGGTAAGTGAAACTTTGCTTGATGTTTTATGACATCCAACTGCTCGTAAAACTTAATAAACGGGGATCTTTATTTAATTCAATTTAGATTTTCCCGTTGATTGAATTAAATAATTAATAAGACCCATTGCACAAGAAGTGACTGTCGTGACCCAAGTGGTTTAGTAGATAGCTCTTTGGCGTTTGAAACTACGGGCGCTGGGTTCGAGCCTCGGTGAGAACACCATCAATCACTGGGGAATGCAGGTACATCCAGTGACGAGTCCCAAATAGGACGAAATGCACATCGTGGGTTGCACTGCTAGTCACCATCCACCAAATAACGCGGATCTTTGCTCAAAACTGCATCAATTGAGGCTGCTGCAATTCCTGCAAGCACAAATTAACGGTACTGGAAGAAATGCAGTAAAACTGCAATAGATTAAATTGTTCTATCCGTAGGGAGAAAAAAAGTAGTACATGTTTTATTTATTGCGCATAGCACGATTAGGATTAAAAGATGACTAGGCGTTGATATAAGAATAAAACTTGGGCACTGTGGTAGAGTGTAATTCCATTATGGGTAAATTTTATTTTGATAGAGTCTCACAGTGTTATACAGTAATATTTACTGATGACGTTTCGAGCACAATTTATTGCTCATAATCATATCAAGGTAATCACACGACTTCCTAAATTCATTTATATAGTTCCATTATTTTTTCACTTGATTTCCACTTGATTTGATTGGTAGTGTTATTTTCCATATTTCGGGTATTAGTGATGATTCATTCCTATTGCACGTGTTGGGTGTAGATTCGATGAACAAAGATTCAGTAATCAACCTCTCTCTCCACCTACCTAGATTACTTTTTAGAATTTTAACCCTCTCCCACCCTATTGTGTGGTTGTGTGTTAATGCATGCATTGCAATTGCCGAGCTTTTTTCTAAATTACTTATCTTTTCTGGGTCAACCATTCTTATCTTAGCTAAATTCTTATGTTCTGACAATCTGACTATTCCTGACCTACTAGTTTGACCTATGTAGTTGACCTCACAGTCATTGCAGGGTATTTTGTAAATTATATTATTTTGTCTAATTGGGTCCACTGGGTCCTTTAACCTACAGAGCTTGTCCCTGAGTGAGTTTGTAGGTTTAAATGCCATCCTAATTCCTGCTTTATTTAGAATCCTACGTAGGGTCTCAGATGTCCCCTCTTTATATGGTATAACTGTCGATGACTTATATTCTCTCTTATTTATGTTATCATTACTAGTTCCACAATTATTTTTATTTTGTTTTTGGCCTTTAGTTATCTTTCTAATGAATTTTAAAGGATAATTATTCAACACCAACGCTTCTTCTATCTGTTTTATCTCGTCGTTTAGGTCTTTTTTTGTGCTACTTAGTGCTATGGCTCGGTTTGTTAGACACTTAACTAGGCCTGCCTTAACAGTTAACGGATGCGACGAATTAAAATCTAAATATCTATTAGAATGCGTTGGTTTTCTATACACACTAGTGTGAAGTTTACCTTCTTCTATTCGTTTTATTTTACAATCTAGCATAGCCAACTCTCCTTGTTCATCTTCCGATTCAAATGTGAATTTTATCCCCTCTACTAGTGAGTTAATATGTGTCAAGAAGCTAGAGATATGTTCTGTTTTTAACACTGTGAAAGTGTCATCCACATATCTCCACCATATTTTTGGAGTAGGATTAAACGTATTAAGTGCCATATTTTCCCAGCTATCCATAAATATATCTGCTGCGATAGGGGATATTGGTGATCCCATTGCTACACCTTCAGTTTGTCTATATATTTTGCCTTGGAATCTAAAGATAGTAGATGTGAGGCATAGCTGAACCCCTAAAATAATTTCTTCAATGGACAGCTTTGTCCTATGATTGAGTTCAGTATCCGCAGTTAGTTCTTTTTTAACTGCTTCTAAGGCCATATTGACTGGTATATTAGTATAAAGACTGGTTATATCAAAACTAACCATTGTTTCATCATTATCTAGTTGTATGTCATTTAGTTTATTTTTCATTTCATATGAATTAGTTAGTCTAGAATTTGAACGATTTCTAATGGGACATAATATTAGAGCTAAATGTTTTGATAATTCATATGTAGGGGTATTTCTAAAATCTACTATTGGTCTTATGGGATAACCTGGCTTATGTATTTTAATAGTACCATACATCCTACTAGCATTATTAGTTTTAGGCATTAAATTAAACCATTTTGACTCACCCAGTGACGGCTTCATTCTGCGTACTAATTCCGTTGTGGATTTTTTAACCTTATTCATTATTGTGTCTACGGGCTTCTTAATTTCCTCATATGGACCCATTTCAATATGTTCATTGACTTTCTTGATGTAGTCAGATTTATCCAAAACTACGGTGGCGTTTCCTTTGTCAGCTTTTGCGATGACAATATTTTATTGCCTGCAGATCACAAAACAAACAAACTTGACAAAGTCGGAAAGAGAAGCTTTAATTAATCTAAAACAGGATAAAAATATTGTCATCGCAAAAGCTGACAAAGGAAACGCCACCGTAGTTTTGGATAAATCTGACTACATCAAGAAAGTCAATGAACATATTGAAATGGGTCCATATGAGGAAATTAAGAAGCCCGTAGACACAATAATGAATAAGGTTAAAAAATCCACAACGGAATTAGTACGCAGAATGAAGCCGTCACTGGGTGAGTCAAAATGGTTTAATTTAATGCCTAAAACTAATAATGCTAGTAGGATGTATGGTACTATTAAAATACATAAGCCAGGTTATCCCATAAGACCAATAGTAGATTTTAGAAATACCCCTACATATGAATTATCAAAACATTTAGCTCTAATATTATGTCCCATTAGAAATCGTTCAAATTCTAGACTAACTAATTCATATGAAATGAAAAATAAACTAAATGACATACAACTAGATAATGATGAAACAATGGTTAGTTTTGATATAACCAGTCTTTATACTAATATACCAGTCAATATGGCCTTAGAAGCAGTTAAAAAAGAACTAACTGCGGATACTGAACTCAATCATAGGACAAAGCTGTCCATTGAAGAAATTATTTTAGGGGTTCAGCTATGCCTCACATCTACTATCTTTAGATTCCAAGGCAAAATATATAGACAAACTGAAGGTGTAGCAATGGGATCACCAATATCCCCTATCGCAGCAGATATATTTATGGATAGCTGGGAAAATATGGCACTTAATACGTTTAATCCTACTCCAAAAATATGGTGGAGATATGTGGATGACACTTTCACAGTGTTAAAAACAGAACATATCTCTAGCTTCTTGACACATATTAACTCACTAGTAGAGGGGATAAAATTCACATTTGAATCGGAAGATGAACAAGGAGAGTTGGCTATGCTAGATTGTAAAATAAAACGAATAGAAGAAGGTAAACTTCACACTAGTGTGTATAGAAAACCAACGCATTCTAATAGATATTTAGATTTTAATTCGTCGCATCCGTTAACTGTTAAGGCAGGCCTAGTTAAGTGTCTAACAAACCGAGCCATAGCACTAAGTAGCACAAAAAAAGACCTAAACGACGAGATAAAACAGATAGAAGAAGCGTTGGTGTTGAATAATTATCCTTTAAAATTCATTAGAAAGATAACTAAAGGCCAAAAACAAAATAAAAATAATTGTGGAACTAGTAATGATAACATAAATAAGAGAGAATATAAGTCATCGACAGTTATACCATATAAAGAGGGGACATCTGAGACCCTACGTAGGATTCTAAATAAAGCAGGAATTAGGGTGGCATTTAAACCTACAAACTCACTCAGGGACAAGCTCTGTAGGTTAAAGGACCCAGTGGACCCAATTAGACAAAATAATATAATTTACAAAATACCCTGCAATGACTGTGAGGTCAACTACATAGGTCAAACTAGTAGGTCAGGAATAGTCAGATTGTCAGAACATAAGAATTTAGCTAAGATAAGAATGGTTGACCCAGAAAAGATAAGTAATTTAGAAAAAAGCTCGGCAATTGCAATGCATGCATTAACACACAACCACACAATAGGGTGGGAGAGGGTTAAAATTCTAAAAAGTAATCTAGGTAGGTGGAGAGAGAGGTTGATTACTGAATCTTTGTTCATCGAATCTACACCCAACACGTGCAATAGGAATGAATCATCACTAATACCCGAAATATGGAAAATAACACTACCAATCAAACCAAGTGGAAATCAAGTGAAAAATAATGGAACTATATAAATGAATTTAGGAAGTCGTGTGATTACCTTGATATGATTATGAGCAATAAATTGTGCTCGAAACGTCATCAGTAAATATTACTGTATAACACTGTGAGACTCTATCAAAATAAAATTTACCCATAATGGAATGATTAGGCGTTCACTATACAAACCTAAACATACGTCGATCCTTGTTTTTTTTTAAATATCTAAATAATCAACACCAATGCCATCTCTTGTAACAAGTTCGCGTTATTGACCACTCTATGACAGAATATAAGCTCTAGACGTAGCTTATGTATCAGAAGCTTTAGAATCTTATATGATGAACTATAACCCCTCAAGCAGTTGAAAGTTCATTCTGATTATAGGGGATTTTGCATTAATTTCAGGTGTTAGACTTTCGCCACGAGTAGTTAGGGAGATCATTGAAAACCAGGCAGCGCTGGACAGCAGTTTCGTCTTATTTCGGGAATCGTCATCAGTGCGCACCCGGGACTTTCAGGTTAGGAGACCAGACTCGTTGATCATTCAACCAGTTGGGCTGGAACTCAATGACCCCCTGAATTCTAATTTTATCAGTTCGTGATGTAATACTGCCGTCACCAATGTCTTCGATAAGCATTCATTTCACCCTGATATGGTGGACTCCCCTGGTCGGGACTTCCCACTGCAGCTTCAAGAAATCCACTCAGCAGCTATCGGTAAGCTGGCGACTGATATTCAGGTTATGAGGTTTGTGAAGATTTAGGATTAAACTTTAGAAAGACATATCAAAACAAGTTTGCCTCGTTTTATAAGTAGGGGCTTAGAAGCTCTTACAATATAAATAATTGGAAACTAATGTCACGTTGAAGAAGAATCGAGCAGTGTATCACAGGCAGGTTCAAAGCGGGTCAGGTTTCCTGTATTTTGTTTATTGGTCAAAAGTATGTATTAAAAGACTATGGATATCAGAATCTTAGAAATCGCTCAGGCCAATTGATTTGTGTATATTATAATTAGGTTATTCCTTCTGATAAACTGAGACTTCCAAATGCTAGTTTGATCTGAGTGGTGATGCAAAAGCTGCTTTTGTTAAACATCTAATCTTCAATAGAAATAATGATAACTAATAACCATCTAGCTTTGAGTGCTATAAAGGCGATTGCAACTCCCAGGTGTAGATCGTCACTGTGCTATTAATATTTAGGATGTTCTGTCTGTGCGTCGGTGGCACAGTGGTTAGGACTCTCGCCGACCATGCACATGGTCCGGGGTTCGATCCCCTGCCGACGCACACCCTATATCTATGGTCGGCCTGCAAAATTTGGGCTACCGATATCCATGCTGAAAATTCCATACTTGTACTGAAAATACGGTGTGGCATCAAGCTGTAATCAAAAATAATAAAAAATAAAAAATTGAGCTGCAATACCAGTTACTCTGGGCTCAGTACTTCTAGGAACCTACAAGACTTAATCATCTGAATTTGTTATTTCTCTGTTTGGAAGGAAAGAATGTTAGTGTTTTGCGGTGATCTTGAAGCTACATTGGATGGAGTCAGTATGATGACGGTCACGAAGTCACTAATCTAAATGAATTTTAAGCATTGTAACTTATATTCGTCCACTCGTCATTTGTGACTAAGGAATAGGGAACTTTAGACATTCACTTGCGATTGTCATTTCACTGATTTACCACACTCAGTTATCGACTGTTAATAAAAGCTGATAGAGTGACGCCTTAAATAAAATCAATTAATAGTCCTATATTTGATTTGTTATCTATTCTAGTGTCTCAAAGAAGCATATGTCAAAGCTTTAGGCTGTGGGATTCGCATTCCTTTACGCACTGTGGAGTGTCATTTCCCTGAAGATGGCTATCTGTTTGCACACCGAAAGCTTACAGACGAAACAGAAAAGCGCTGGGTTTTTGAGAAGCATAATCTGCCCCAAAATCATCTGGCAATTATCGCTTGGTCCGGAGTTTCAAATATGGTATGTTCTGATTGTTCCTCAAGCTGTCATTAATAACTGTAAAATGCAGTGACTCTTAGCAAGTTATATTTGTGTTTTTTGTCTTTATTACAAGCACGTATCTGTGTAAGCTGATCACATTAGTATGAATTTCTTGAGGACCATGCATTCACCTCTTGTATGTATCATATTTTTGCCGCGCTATACTCAATTTAGGTTGTTTAAACTGTTTGTTTTTAGTAACCTGAGTACTATATAAAACAACGATGACGTATCTTATGTACGAAATTGAGCGTGATTAATTAAACTGACGTTGCCTTAATGGGTTACAGGATTTCATCATGAGCTGACATCGGTTAGAGAACCATTGGAAAACCTGGGAGTACTGGACAGCTGTTTCGTCCTAATTTGAGACTCTTCATCAGTACGTACCCACCGGGGTTCGAACCCTGTAACCACTCAATCAAGTCCCTACAAACCATATATACATATATACAAAATAATATGATATGTCATTTCGGTTACTGCCAGTTGATCGAATCATGTGTCAATCTGCATACACAGGGGACTAGTCCTAATCTAAATGACTTATTGGTAAATTTTCCAATTCCCACACTAACAGTCCCAAGGTTAAAATTAATGACAGATGACATGATTGAAAAAGACTTCACAGTGGTACAGACGTGTCCTCTTCTTGTCATTATCTGGATTGTAGAAGTCCTCTGTAATCTTTATCTAATTATTCTCTCCCCCGTAGTTTCGCTGAACTTTTCCCTACTTTTTTGTGTTCTCCGATGTCTAACAACTAGAAATGATACACTTTTGTGCAGTTTTATCTTGATAAGTTGGTCAGTATTGGTTTGTAGGTGAGGATGATTTTTTTATAACATGTTAACGTTTTTGTCCTAACCTGATTGTGTTAATATATTTCAAAACAACAACTTCAAAATAGAATATCTTGTACTAACTAAAGCTTCTACTGATTAAAGAAGACAATAAGAATGTAACCCTGAGAATCAGTTGCAAAGACTGTCAACTTCATCAATTTGGTCAACCCAGTTGTCGGATAGGTCGAAGAATTCATAAACCTTAACCTGTAGTCAATCAACACGATATATAGTCTTCTATTTAAAACTTAACTACAGATTCTGTCGAGAAAGCGTGGAAGTGTACAACGTGCATGCTCCAAAAGTCGAGGAAATAAAAATCAACTAGCATATGGGCAAAAACCGAATTATTTAAAAACAATCAGCTTGATAAAAGTCAATTAGACTGTATACAATCATTCGCAAAAATCATATATTCATCCAATAAGTCAAAGAGGAACACCTCAGTACTGTGATGGTAAAAGACAAGAGACTTAGTAAAGGGATGTTTATCTGCTCCTTATCTCCAAATCGTCATTTGCACAGATCTTTTGTGTTGTTATGATACTGCTGCCCTTCGTATTTTGTTTCTTTGTCTTCTTTTCGTGTCCCCCATGTTTTGCCGCGACGCTGAATCATTTACTCTTTTTGACGTTAGTCTATCCACTATTCGATATTTTTATGCCGATGGACGTCTCTTTATATACTACTGATAAATCCTATCAGTGGCACACACCACAGTATATGTGATTGGTATATCGCTGCCCTGTTAAACTCAACAGTACTCTAGATCGGCAAGTTGTCTAAATATGTGTTTTTGCAGTGTAAAAGTACTGCACCCCTTGCTAAAGTCATCTGTTCGTCTGGTGAAGTCCTGTAACCAGTCAAATTCAATCCCTGCAAAACAATACTTGAATTTTTCTTTTAAACATTGAAGCTCCCAATTTTTTCAATTGGTTATGGTGATGAAAATACCTTTAAAAAGAGAATATGATACACCTCCAGATTGCCAACTAGAAGATACCATTATTCAGTAAACAAAATTTCCTTCGACAGGATCATTTTCATAAACTGTACGCCTGTTTTTAAATTTACTGCAAATATATGTGTCGTCGAGTAGTGAGAGGAAGCTACGTAATAAGCAGACTGGTTGATTGGTTCTTTCAAAAGACAGAGAGTTACGCAGTTATCGATAAGACGAAAAAGTTTGCAAGACAAGTGGAATAAGAAAGTGTAGAAAAAGCGTTTCATCAGTTGGTATACTGTTTGCTAACTGTGAGAAATCTTAAAAGATGGTAAGAGACTTTCAGTAATATCGGTTCTCTGAACTAGTTAGCGTACATATGGGGCTTTCAGTGTTATTCTAGATAAAATCCCAGCACAAAAATGCCCAGCAGATCCTAAGATGTTATTGGTTGTTTCAGTAGCTTTCTTGTAGCTACACCTATGCATTTACCCACTGGTTGGTTACCTTGCTACCTTAGTTAATCCCTTGCAGTTGTTTTCCACTTTCTCATTCAAATCTGGGTCGATGTTTCTAGAGCTTTCAAAAAGAACTAAATGTCATGGTTCTGAAATTTTCATTGCATTCCTCGTATTTCCTACCTAAAATATTCACGTAGTCCAATCAAACTCATGCCCACATGCATAAATGTTAGGAAAGGTTCACCACATAGTCATAACTACAGGAGCGACCAATCATATCCTAGGTCATCACCATATTTTATTAAACACTTTGATAAACTCCAGTAGCTCATATGTTTCTGGTGTTTGCGGATGAGGATACTGCTTAAAATGATAATGAAAGCCTGGCAATCAGATCGTCTCACTTATTACGCCTGAACTTCAAATGTTCCCAATCATCTTAAAACTGATCTGGTTAATAGCTTTGTAGCATATTTCTCCTCTAAGAAATATTTGTGTTAACTTAACATATGGCGGTGTGTGTAAACTCCCCTAGACAGGATCAAAGAGACTTTTCGACTAAATTTCTCAAAATGTCAACAGATATGTATGGCTAAGAATCCACACTTTTGGCTTTCACGCTAAAATATTCTCGTTCCTTCTATAATTGAAAAATATTGCAAAGCAACAAACAAACGCAATCTTGGCTGTTTATTTCTTGGAAATACTTAAGCAAATTACTAATTCACTTCATAGGGTACATTACCTGGTACTCACGTTATATCAAGTTTGTTTTTAAGTGAAGAATAACATCCCTGTGTTACTGAGTTTGCGTTGGCTAGCTAGCCCTGGAGTCTAAGACACGCGTTTCACCCAATTTCGGGCTTATCAGTTGTTTGCATCTGCATCTCAGTGCGTAAAAGTCAACTGTAAATTTGAAATAACTGTAATAAAAGAAATTAGTATGCTAACCACTACATTTACTTAACACATACTCTGGGTAGATTTTTGATAAATGTAGTTACTACTTATTCCTTCTCTAAAACAAGTATAGAGTTTTATTTTCACACAGCTACTCTTTGTGTGTCTGTCTGTCTATCTACCTTTTCACGTATACATAATGGGAAAACGTTATAAATATACATCATCACCTCAACAGGACTTTTCACCTGTTCTTATACTACATGGATATACTTAAAGAAATACAGTTTTTTTTATACATGGAATTTTTCACTATCTTAATTATTTTATGTCTTCACAGGACTGTGATATTAACGGTTCATTCATACAGTTGACATATGAACAACTAATAAACAAGTTAACAATTCTATCTCCCGTAGACAGTGATGTTTGGGATCAGTTTTTAAGCAAGCCGAAAGTACCACCCTCATCTCGTCAAGCAATTCAAAATCAATAATTAAAGTAGTAATATTCCTTTCTTCTTCTTCTTCTTCTCCTTCATGAAGTGTCTTTCGAATATTTGACAATTTTCTACTGAGATAAAAATTTCCGTATTTGGATAAATAAATATATACATTAGAGGAAAAAACACTCATGCGTTTTCTTACTTTTCAAAAGTAATATTAATTTTTTAAAATTTTTATACACTAAGAGAAGTTTATTTTGAGATCAATTGCAGGTAGATCATTGGACCATTTTAAAGCTTCATCAGTATATACTGGTTCAATTTTTTCATCTGTTATATATGATTCCCAAGCAGTTCCAAATAAGTGGACTAAAGTTGTAGTCAATACTAAATAAGTGAATTGATGAGGTACACATACAGTGTATCCTTGAAGAATATTACGTGCCCAATGCACAGGTAACGCTAACTCCAGTATAGTTGAATTTTCTTCACCAGGAGACTTTTCAATGAAACGTTGCGGATCAAATGTTTTATAGGCTTGATTTTCTATGCCTATTCTCTTATTCTCACTGTTCGATATATCTGTATCCCATAAATCAGGATCAGAGTAGTAAGCAGGCTCATCGAAAAGCACCAATTCTCCTTCACTGAAATCTTGTTCCACAATCTGCCCATCACGAAAAGCTTGACGCAAACAACCAAAAGGCCAGCCAAGTGCACATAAGCGCAGTGTTTCTTGAATCAAAGCCTTTGTAAAAACTAAACATTTTGTATGCTTCAGGGAAAAACACAGATGTGACTGTTGAAAAACAAAAAATAACAAAATATTACCGTGATTACTATTACAATAATTAGTATTCTTAATTGTTTTATTAAGCTGGAAAAAAGTGAAAAAGGACTAGTTACTTTTACTGTCAAATAACAGCACATTTCCTTATATTTAGAGTATCATTCAATAGTAAAAGAGCAGTTTTCTTTAGTGAAGACCAAGAAAAATTCCACCCATTCATCACATGATTGACCAAGCGCCTCAACAACTTTATCTTCACACGTTCGCATGTAATGAATATTACTGCGCGTACCATTATCGCTAAACTTCTTTGTTCCCGTCATTAACCTGCATAAACATATCTGTGCAGAAAACAGGACTGCTTCGTACGACATGTAAAATGAAATAAGAATAAGGACCTGTTTTATATATGATCTACACGTTGATTCACCGCTTATATGGTACAATAATACTAAAAACTGAAATAAGTGATTATCATTAAAGAAAATACAGTAATATACTTAAATTGATAAACTGTTATTTCTAATGAAATGACATAATAGAGGTTATACCTTACTTCGAAATGCAGTCACATTTTTATTCACCGCAGCACAGGAACACATCAAAAATTCAAGTTTACTCTTACCAGTGAATTGCTTAGCTAACTTAGCGACTAGAATATAAAACGAACTTATTGCGTAGTAGATTGTTTTTAGCACGAATTTCAATCCACACAGGTTTTAGCTTTCAGCATCTTCATTTAAAAATCGTATGTCATTTAGTGCACTTCTGTTTGATAGCTGCAGTTTGCATCCTTCTTCTCTGTGGTTACAAAGATCGCTGTTAAATTCCTCTCTGTAATACCAAAAATATCTAATTTTTACTACATGATAACTATAACTACAGTAATGTGCTTCACTTTAATTTTTAGTTGTGTTCACCAACCATGTAACTGATACAATTCATGAATTAAGTGAGAATACATTAGGTAGGGTATCCAACTCCGACCGATTCTGAAGCGATTCGTTATCATCTATTGAGAAACTCTTCTGATTTACAGTACGATGCTAAACTGCTTGTTTAACATAACTATATACTTTAAAAAAAATATACGACTGATTTATGAATAAAAATTAAAGTGTTCCCTAAAATATCGCTCAACAAATATGTAGGAAAAAGTGGAGATGGATCGGGCATACACTAAGGAGGCCGCCGAATGACATCGTACGCCAGGCCATAGCTTGAGCGGGTCGTCCTAGGGTGACATGGAGGAGATGAGAGTTTGGTCAGTCGTGGACCCAGCTGAAGAGGACGGCAGAAAACAGAACAAAGTGGAGATGTGTTGTTGAAAGCCTATGTTCCACTCGGAACGCAAGGGAATAATAATATAATAATAACAAAAATATTTAACTCACTGGACAGTGGGTAGGGGATGGAGACATTGGATTTGTTCTATTATAATAATTCTCTAGAAATTGCTTGCACTCTTTTCGCAGATTATCCTGCCATTCAGGTTTAAGAGCGAGTACTTTTAACAACACTTTTAGATTTTTGTTTAATGTATGCCTAGTTATTAAACAGCATTCAGCAAGTAAATGAATAATATGTGTCAGAGTTAGGAATTCATTTGAACTTCCTTCTTCTTTTAAATAGTGATAACTAATGATGAGTTGTAACAATAAATTTGTTGACTTTTTGCTTTCTTGTAAGCATCCAGAATCACCATTATGATTGTCAATGGCTTGATCTAAATGATCACTAGTTGAATTCTTTGTGTATTCTTCAGAAGATAAATATTTCTCTAAGTAATAATGTATTAAAGGATTGATGAGATTGTAGAAAGCACTCATCAAGTCGTCATTGTTGCAGGACTTGGAAAAGTTTATAAATGGTAGAAAAGCTTTTAATAAATTTGATGTTTCCGAACAATATCCATTTGTATGCAATAGTTCCAATGCGTTTATGTGCTCTTTGATCTGTAAAACAAACTTTTCTTTTTGTAAAGCTGACATATTTTCCGGTGTAAACTCATAAAATACTTCACGTGGACCGAAGAAAAATAGTTCTGTGTACATGCTGCATATCCATTTATCTAAACGTACATCGAATGGTACACCATTGTCAATCAGTATACCACCAAAAGCCTTGGGATCAGCCCCTAATTGTCCAACGCGTTCAAACATTCTCATCGGCAAAGCACTGAATGCTAGAATTACAAGCTCATGTAATTCTGATCTAAACTGTAACGTATCGTCAGCAATCATTAGTCCATACCATCTTCGTCTGAAGGATTCTGAAAAAAAATTGAAGTGAAAACAACATTAGATTGCAATACATTTATGTCTGAGTTTAAGAAAAAAGCATATACTTCGAGTATAATTCCTTCATAATTGCCGGCTCTATTCAATTAGATGACCCTCACGACTTTTAACCCTGTTGCTCCACACCTTTCAACAAAAATCAAGGTCTGTTAACTTGAAATTTAGCGAACAACATCCATTATCAGCACTAATGGTTGTATAATCCACCTGTTCTAGTTTCAATTAGCTACGTTAGAGCTAGTCACTAAGTAACGTTGCATCTTAATTCACTGGACGTTTTCACGGGTATTCTTTGGTTCCGAAAACCTTTTCATAACGGAAAGATTCCTTGAAGTTATAATGAATAGGTGCAAAGTGCTTGATTAGCTATCCAAATAGTTAGTCACTAATGACTGTGCGACGTCCATGCTGCATTTGGAACTAGTGCAATTTGTAAGATATGGGCTATTAGAGCATAAATTAGTAACAACGCGATGTCAAAATATTTTGTGCTGGGCACTGCACTAATTCGTTGTGAGAACTATTTAAGAATCACACACTAAGGTCAAATAGCCCTACAGTGTTACTCGATTTTCAGAATCATTTCGATAGCACAGTAGGCATTCGATTCAACGCGTTCCTTTGACTACCTTCATCAAAGCAAAAAGAACAAGATTTGCAGCAAAAAGTGTGCGTATTTTATTTTGAAGCTTATCATCAGTTTTAGGCAGCCTGAGCAGGAACTTATTCATCGAGTCTACACCCAACATGTGCGATAGGAATGACTCATCACTCATACCGGAAATATGGGAAATACTACAACCAATCATATAAACGAAATCAAAAAGCTGTGTGAGTAACTCGATATGATTATGAGCAATAAATTGTGCTCGAAACGTCATCAGTAAATATTACTGTGAGACCTTATCAAAATAAATTTTATCCACAATGGAATTATACTCAACCAAAGTGTACGAGTTCTATTCTTATATCACTGATTCAATATGGTTAGTGTCTGATAACCGCGACATCCTGTTTCTTACCAGTAACAGTATTTAACGGGAAAGTATGACCTACAATTAAATGAGATAAGACAAGGTATACGACAACGAGGAACTACATATGAACGATTGTTCTAAACTTACTTGGAGCCAAAGAATAGTGAATATCTAACAAAGTGAAATGACTATATAGCGTAATCACTTTCCAGTCTTCAACAAAAAGAACTTTTCGATGATTTAGATAACCCCTTACTATTGGAAACTTTGGTTTTCTGTACACAAAAGAGGACGTCAGGCGCGATACCCCATTGAGACACAGATCGCTGAAACTTTCAAATTTTAGACCGACATCAGCTGGTGGGTTAGTGTAGTGCTGCAAGACTGCAACTGAATAAATGTAAAAACTTACCTTTCTTGAAATACGCCAAGCCAGGAAGATCAAGAAGAATGTAAACGACAATGTTGTCGACACAATTCTCAAGGTTAAGTCTAGTGATCGGCTTTCCGTGAATAGGCCTCCATAACTGTATAGTCTTGGTGGTGGTTCCATCAACCCTGAAATAAGGGAAAATATGATTATTTCTCCCCTGGCTCTATATAAAATAACTCACACCATTTTGCACGCAGATAATGTATTTATCTAATGATGTACATACAAAACAAGGGTGACTTAGGCCTCTGAAAGAACTGGTGTGGAATCATGCTCTTGTCTACGCCAAGTAAAATACTAAGTCACATCATCCTGGAGAGAATAAAGGATGTACTGGATACAGAACTCCGCCACCCACTGGGACAAGCTGGATTCAGGAAAGGCAAATCATGTGCTGATCAAATCGCAACTCTACGCATCGTCATCACACAACAAAGCATAGAATGGCAGTCAAATGTCTCTCTCTGCCTCAACCTCATCGACTTCGAAAAGGCCTTAGACAGACAGCGTTGACTGAGAAGTAACTTGTAAACTACTTCAATACTACAGCATGCCTCAAGTCTTTATCAACCTCATTCAACAGCTGGCTATATGACAATGTCACGTGTCAGATGATCCACAACAGAAAACTCAGCGAGGCGTTCGAAGTGCATACAGGGCTAAGACAAGACTGCTGACTATTATCACCGATGATATTCTTAATTGTGGTGGACTGAATTATGCGTCAGACTGTGTATGGGAGCGAGGAGTCAGGAATACACTGGACCACCGATGAGAAGACTCTAGAAGACCTGGATTTCCAGATGATGCATGTCTGGTGTCACACCAACTCAAAGACTTACAGGTGGAAACCAACAAACTGGCTGGAGAGGCTGGCAGCGAAGACAGGACTCCAGGTGAACATAGAGAAGATGGAGGTGATGAAGATAACCAATCACCACCACCAACAGCAACAACAACCAGCACTAACCACCATCTACGGGAGAGATTTAGCAGAGGTTACCCCCTTCACTTATCTAGGAAGCATCGTTTTAACTGCAGGTGGAACGGATGAAGATGTCAAAGTCAGAATCAGAAAGGCAAGATACGGCTTCATCAACCTGAAACCAGTTTGGAAATCTTATGCACTCAGAATAAGTTTCGGATTTCCAACAACAATGTTAAGTCAGCCAGTTCTTCTTTGTGGGTGATAAACGTGCACGGCACATCACGAAAACCATTTGCAACAGCCAGCTGCAGACTTTTATCAACAGCTACCTTCGCTGGTCCAATACTGAAGATCAAATGGTCAGAAAGAATTATTAACAAGAAACTGTAGGAACAAACCAACAAAGAGCCGATTGTTCAACAAATATGTAGGAGAAAATGGAGATGGATTGAGCATACATTAAGGAGGCTGTCGAATAACATCGCGATCAATGCAGGCCATCATTCGGGTGGAATACATATGAAAAGCGACGAGTGAGTCGTTAGAGGGTGACATGGAGGAGATTGTGTGAGGAAGAGATGAGCTGTGATCAAGATTTGACCGGATAGTTGCAAAATAATTGAGCGCTGAGTGAGAAGTAGACATTTATAAAATTATATTTGTAAAATCTCAGCGAAATTGAAATGATTAATTCCAACGTTTCGTTCGGCAATCTGGTCCGAACTTCTTCAGGGAAATTAATCGAATTAAAATAAACAGAGGTTTATATATAAAAGGAACAACTCATGTTTTTTAAATTTTGTCCAATCATGAGTCTTGCAACAGTCATCAACATGTATAATAAATAAATAAATAAATAAAATAGTATGTTTATATATAAAAGTACATCTCTTTTATTTATTTATTTATTATACATGTTGATGACTGTTGCAAGACTCATGATTGGACAAAATTTAAAAAACATGAGTTGTTCCTTTTATATATAAACCTCTGTTTATTTTAATTCGATTAATTTCCCTGAAGAAGTTCGGACCAGATTGCCGAACGAAACGTTGGAATTAATCATTTCAATTTCGCTGAGATTTTACAGATATAATTTTATAAATGAAGAGATGAGAGATTTTGGGCAATCGTGGACCCATCTGTAGAGGATGGCGGAAAATAGAACAAAGTGGAGATGTGTTGTTAAAGCCCTATATTCCACTCGGAATTCAAGGGAATAATAATAAGGTACATACAAAACGCAGTCTTTTAAACACCCGAAGTGTGTCGGTGGTACAGCGGTTAGCACGCTCGCTGACCATGCGCATGGTCCGGGGTTCTATCCCCGGCCGACGCAGTCCTTTACTTCACTAAGCCAGAAATAGAGCTAGTAAAAAGGGAAGGTTGGGCATGAGGCTAGCAACTCCATCCTGTAAAAATAAACACTACTACAGAAACTTCAAGCCTGTAGCTTGAAGCCCTATGTCCTACTGGGAACGTGAAGGAAATAAAAAAATATTTTAAAAAATGTTTGAGATGGGTTTCACCATATCGCTTGACGTAGAGCTGTCATATGTAAGATGATGATAAAGAGCTTGTGCAAATGTGAAATGGTTAAATACATTTACTATTCTACCCATCCGGGGAAACTCATCAGTCTTGATAAGCTTTTCCCTGGCGAAATATGGCTCAGGACTCACCAATATATGTCGAATTTATAGCTAAGGTAACATCTGGATGTCAGTCATAGGGCGATTAATACATCTATTTACTACTGAGAATTGGTTGCTAAAATTAGATTTGAGAATATTGGATGCTTTTATTGATAGTTTTCCTTCACCACTTTCCTGCATCAGTTGGGGAAAAATGTTGGGCAATTATAGTCATTCGTAGTGTTAGGTTAGGGGAGTAAGTCGGCTGATAAAGGAATAAAGCTTAATGGATTTATATCCGTGGAATACGTTTTATATATGCTTATATACCATACACCCTTTTCAGAAACACTGAGTGACATACAATCAGGGCGGGAAAAATGTTAATGATGGTCGGTATCAACCTATGGAAACAATGAGTGTTGATTTTGAGCCAAGTTAAGGCTGTATCTCTAAGATCCTCAGGATGCTTGAATTAAGTAATTGAAGACTGATTATAACATAGCCCAAAAGGTTTACAATAGCATAAATGAATTTCCTTTTTATCATTTTTTTATCCTGAACAACACGAGTTTAATTTCGTTATTTGCTTTATCCCACATAGGATTGTGCAGCGCAGCAGCCTCTTTGTTTGGCCTTTTAATGTGGGGTTACTTAAAATGTTGTACTCCGGTGTCAAGTTCTATGACGGCTTGTCAGTTAACGAGCTAACAGTAGCATAAGTAATATTTTTACATATTTCTACATTGTCGCGTGGTAGTTTATATAATTTATGTCCACAAGACTATTGGAATGCAAGCATTTTCCACAGATTTACAGACTTATTAAGCACAGGTATTAAATATTGTTTTAAACAGCGGAATTTTAAGTATTAGGAAAAAAATAGCAACCCCATTCCAAATATAGCTCTAATAAACATCGTGGTTACTACCGAACAACACACTTTTATTACCCCAGTCTGGTGATGAATTTGTGAGGCAATTTTCATAGGGCTCAAAAAGAACGCATACATGACAAGTTCAAGAAATGTGAAATAACGCAGACAAATCATTTTATGATTCTGGATATAATATATATATATATATATTACTACGTATTACGATGAAATCATGTTAGCACATTTTATTCAAAACTTTTTCTCGGTCAGAAAATTTTGCGCAAAAATTGGTAAAGTGCGGCGAAACGTGAAATGAACTTCTTTCAAGAATTTTAATTTAATTTTGATTATAGCTTGAAACCACACAGTATTTTTGGTACAAGTATGGAATTTTCAGCATGTGATATCGGTAGCCCAAATTTTGCAGGCCGACCATAGATATCGGGTGTGCGTCGGCAGGGGATCGAACCCCGGACCATGTGCATGGTCGGCGAGAATCCTAACCACGGTGCTACCGACGCACAAATGCTATAAACATGATTTCACAGCTACGTTGAATACATAGTTTTTTCGAAATTAATAATACGAATACCGTAAGAGTATGCACCAAAATACAGTTATTAATTTTCACTATGGTGGTCATGAACTACGCCACACTTCACTGGGACCTATCTAATTTTTTCAGTTTTCCTGCTCCCCCCAAAGACTCCTAAAACCCTGAAATCGCCCCGAAAAAACCAAGAAAAGTCCGCTCTCCGATTAATTATTTTGGAAATAAAATAAGAATTAGTCTCTACAGAGACTGAGAGTAATACTGGCCCGAATACTCAGTAATAGCTAGGATCATTTAAATAAGGCTAGACAGATTTGACTACCCACTCGAACAATTGTGAGGATAAAAAGGCGACATTTCTAAGGAAATGGTGACAAAAAGTGGGGAATCTTCGTCAATGGTGGAAATAAACAGAATATAGGCGAGAAAAAATGGGCTCACACGGAAAACCTTAAGATATTGTCAGTGTCGCGCGAAAAGTGATGGTAAATGAGTATACGTTTCAGACAACATTTGAAAAGACCGTTGCGGTGGTTTCACGTCGGTTAAAGAATAATCGCTTTAGGGAAATTAACTTCAGTTGTAAGTGCCAACTCATAATACCACAGTTAGATCGACTCAAACAACATCAGAATGTTACATCACACAAAAAAGAAGTTTTTGAAGCGAAGAATACCACAACAACTGTATGTTATATGCAATCTGCGTAACGTACAACTACCAAACCCCTTACTTTCGTAAATTCAAGAAAACCAGTTAAAATGCCTCCAAAGAGTGAAATCAATTCAAATGATTCAAACAATTTTCACTACACTCAGGTGCTATGGATAGAAAATTCGTTTAATCTTTTGAAGTAACTGCCCTGTTAAATCATAAAATACGTTATTTATCGCTGAGGTTTTTAACATGATGAGGTCTTTAATGAAGGAAGACGTATCTGTAAGTATTGATCTTTCAGAATTTTGTTCTTAAGGACATAGGTTATGCTCCCGGGTGTTTATCGTAACTACTTCGTGTAGGAAATCCCTTAATTTACATTTAAAAGATGCAAGAAAGTTTAGTGATATGAGCAGCTCTGAGATAGTATCGACCATAACACACGTAAGGGCTTTTACTTCGACTACCAAGCTTGTTGGGTGACTTAATAGTTTTTCTAACCACTTATGCCAAATAATAATACATGTCACTACGTGTAGAAAATTGTCTTGAATTTACAAAACGGACATATGAATGTCAACTTTCAAATGAATTTTTCAAACTGCTTGACTACATGCTTCAGTTGGGGACTATTCGGCCCACATATAGTCGATGGGCTTAGCTATTGCACATGGCGCCAACGAAAATCAGACTTGTTGGCCCCCTTGAGGGGATTACGATGCTCCAAACAAAAAGTCGTCCAAGATAGAAACCCTACATCACACACCGAAAATTTTATTAATGGTCTTCGATGTTCATTAAAATAGACAATTCATACCAGTCACAATATTCCGGCGACTGAGGAGAATGTACCTAAAACAGCCGTTGCAACCCTACCCGAATCAAATGAATCCCTTTGGAATACTTCACAAACTTTTAAAGTATTTATGGATTACTTGTTTCGTGAACTGCCATCCACCGATGTGTACATAAACGACCTATTCATCGCTGGGCCAGATGAAAAAAGCACATGAATATCACATTCTAGAAGTATTACGCGGCCTAGCAGTCAATCAAAGTAAGTGTGTCTTTGGAGCAGAAACAGTGGAGTTCCTATGACATGTTTACTGAGAGCACCAGAGCCCTTGCTACCCAATTCTTCACAATACATGAAGCCTTTGACTGATGCACTAAGGGGGAAACCAAAGTGCCTTCAGTTGACGAATACACATCGACATAATCACACAGCTGGAACAACTGTCCACAAAAGAGACACCCCTAAAATACCCTGCTTCAGGTGCTTCTCTTGCATTAGTGGTAGACGCATCAGATAAGGCCGTAGGAGTGGATCCAAATCATATTGTTGGAAACAATTGGAAACCGGTTGCATTTGCTTCTTAACTGCTTAATCCTACAGACAGACAGGTACTAGCAATCTATTAAGCAGTTAAACATTTTCTTTATATGGCGGAGACTACAGATCACAACCCCCTTACTTGAGGACCCCACTCAAAAATGGACAAGTGCTCACCACGTGAAATTCTTCACTTTTTTTCATCTCAGTTTACCTGTGGTATTATACACGTCAGTGGAAATGTGTGACTGGTGCACTGTCCAGAATGAACAGGAACACAATGCAACAAACCACTTTAGACTTAAAAGCACTGACTTAAAATCAGAAGATAGATGAAGAGTTAAAGAATATCCTCACTACAAATAACCCCAGTCTAAAACTCAGATAAACACTATCATTTTAGATGACAACTTTGTATACTCTCTACCATTAGAACCAGCCCTAAGTGACATTCAGACGTTACACATAACAAGTTGTTCACATGCAGTAACTTACATCCTCTGGTCTACAGGTTTTTAGTCACACCACTTTGCGATTTTGTCCTTTTGCAAGTCATAAAATTGACCAGCACTCACTCTTTAAAATTTTTAGGTCTGTCTGCAGAAAACATACACCCTGCGGCCGTGCATCCGAAAATAAAGGTCTATATGCATCAATGCTACTCTAAAAAATCAGAAACTGTCGGTTGGTAGTTGGAATAATTACCTTTATAGAAAATTCACTTTCTAAAATCATACTTGATGTAGTACCACCTATTCGACCAAGCCGGTTCAAAGTTTTCATTCACTTTATTGTCATTTGGATTGAGAAGTGGAGTGTGCATGAAACAAATTTTTACTGCTGACGGTGTGAGTAAAAAATGCATGCCTGCATTAAGATTCGGTGACATTTCAGCATAAACCTCGAGGCAACGATACACAAATGACTGTCAACTACTCAAATGGTTTCTGTATAGTCTTTATCGTCATGTCCTCCCGTTCAATGTTACAGGGAGAATGTTGGCATGAAGCTTGACATGAAGCTATAAATATGAGGGAAATTGTGCCTCTTTATCACTAAATTAGCTCCCAACAACGTCACTGTCAATTATTCAAACCGTAGAAATGCTGGACCTATCGCTAGTTTCAGAAGACTAAGCCTAATACGCGGATTAACTGAAAACGGATGGGTAACAAAATAGTTTATGCTTCAACCGAAACAGATTTATGAAGGCAAATCAATTCCAGAGTTAATATAACGTACAACAGTTTTTCTGATCATATTTCTGCAATCTTCTGCCAACTAATGCATGACTAAGCAATGACAGTCTTCTTGTCTCCCGACAATATGGAAACCTGTCCAAAAAACGAACGATTCAGTGTTCACCAGCACTGACAGCCACCATCAGTGATACTCTGAAGCATGAAACCGAAGAAGCTTTGTCTGAAAGTTATGGGAACCCTTGGCCCTGATGGTTTCCAGTGCATGCTCAAAATTAACATAATGCAATATTACATCTCACCTAAATCTAAATGGTTCAGTCATTTCAGAAGTCTTAAGAAAGGTGAGCTATGTAAAAACGGTCGGATAATGTATATTCTCACTTTTTTGTGCATGAGGGAAGCCAGTTCACTGGCATCATAAGTGTGCTGAATCATATATATGAAGTAAGCATATTCAGAGTTTCTAAAAATACTTATATATACAACAGCGCTAATGAAGTAGTATCAATAAAGTCACCTTAAGGAGTTCAATTATGATGCATTTATTACATTTGTAATGTGTAAATAGATGACATCTTTAAAGATGTGGATATCAGGACACAAAAATGGCACTTCCGTCACCGTCGCCCCCCTTCTTAGTTATTTACTGTGAGATAACCATCCAAAAGGCTCCACAGTAAAGTATAATGATGACATTTTTTAAAAATTTCGCTGTGAAAATCACCCTACATCATACTGATTGTATACCAGATTTGAATTAGTGAAGGTTTCAGAGCCTTTGGTTTCCAGATGATAACGTCTTCCAAAAGACCATTCGAATATTCGGACATATATGTTTTTGATGATTAGGTACCCAATCCAAAGAATGATTTCTCTGAACTTCTGATTAGGGGCGGCGCTTTGGCTCTGAAAACTGGTTTGAAGGATTTATGATGCGGGGAGCATAGCAGCATATTGGGCCAACAAATCTGGTCATTTGTTGCTAGCTTTATATCGGCACTGATGTATAAAACAGCCCTGAATAGATTTTGGCATGGTGTGAGCTGTTTCGCGTATAGGTGTGTTCCAAATTCAGTGAATGTACTGATTCAGCAAATAATCACACCGGGAATCAAAAACAAATACATGTGAAGCCGAATAATTAACTCGCGCCAACTCGTTTACTTCAGTTTCTTTGTAATCGCGAGGGGTTTCTATCTCACCTAAATTAAATGATCATGTGATTTCGGTTTCAATAGTTTCGAAAAATTCTTGTGGTCTCATGTATTTATGGAAGGGTGTTGAGAACATTATGGACCTCATACGTACCATTAAGTAGTCCCTGTCGCTCCTTTGCTCCGAGTATATGATTCTGCTGAGACATTAGCAAGGCTCTTTTTTTACTGAAGCCGTTTTCTAAAAAATTGGCAACGAATGTACAGCATCTCCATTTCGAAGAAATCGACTGCATAATAGTCAAAGGGTCTCCTAGATGCTGACGTTCGAATGACTAGCTTTTAAATGATTTCCTGGAAAATATGCCATCTCTCTTTTGTTTAAATGTCCTTTGTAATCTGAAAGCTGTAGGTTTTAAGAAACCCCTTATAAGGAGCACACCTAAAACCAAAGCCGCAACACAGTTCACAACAGCTGACTGAAGCCTGCTATCACCGGTGACCTTCAAGAATGCAGCGAACTGAAGCATGTGTCAGGCTTTACAGTGCGAGATGACGAGCATATGTTTCACCGACAAAATACACAAGAAGATCTGGATTTGAAAAATGATATGTTTCGTTTTATGCAGACTTTGCGGATGCACAAACGACGATTCACTATAGTCAGAACTTCAGTCAAACAGAAAAGAGAAACGTGATGAACACACCTGGCCGACGACAACAAGTACCAGGCACCAGATCAAGTCACCTCTTTCCCATATCTGACTGACTATCATCATTTTAGTTGTAGGCGGCATGGATATAGACACCAAGTCAAACCTCGATAAGGAGGCAGCATATGTGTCTATTACCGTCAAGTCAGTGTGGTTTTCCATACTTTCCAGCAGTCATCGCATGCTATGGAACCCGAAATACCAATACTATTGTAAAGTCAGTGCTTGAGGATGCTCTGGGAATTTTTTTCAGCTGACACTACACGTTGCAAGCCGAATGGGCTGCGACGGCATGGGCGTCCTAATATGATATGGAGGATATCATATAGAGCGGAAATAATGCTTGTGGACAGTTGCGAAGACAGTTGAAGCCATAGTGGAAATGAAACTCTATAGGCCTGTGTTCCACTAATGTATCAATGAGCGTCATTATGGATAAGATGTTATTTTGATAAATCACACAGTTCTGTATAGTAATATTAACTAATGTCGTTTCGTGCACGAATTATTGCTGATATTCATACCAAGTCACTCACACAACTTTTTGCTTCATTTATATACATGAATAAAATTGATTAGACATTTGAATAAAATCAATATAATATAATGTACATTCAGAAATAAAATTAGTGTTATCAATCAAATACAATCATATGGGAAATAGGATGCTTTTTACGGCGGAGATAAGTAACTTGCTAAAATGTCATAATAGTAGTTGAGCCAGTCAGCCTATATAGTGGAGGTCAGCACCTGATTTTTAACGGTGCTGTCTGATAATTTTGCGGAATCTTTCACCACTATAACCTTTATAGCATGGAGAAAATAGGTTAACTTAGTTTAACTAAAATGGTGTTACACAAAGTTGGCTAAAATGAGGTAAACAAAGAAATACTGTAATTATTAGGCACCAAAATTAGTGACAGCGTGCAGTTACTTGAAAGGAAGGTTTAGTCCTTACCCGAAAAATTTTGGCAACATTATTAAAGAGACTAAGTGACTCTCATTTGACGGTTCTTCTGTAGTAAGTTTTGTTTTCTTAGCCATTAGCACTGGTCGGAAAAAATCTAGTATCATCTGTAAGTTTACGAAAAGATTCCAGCTAACAGAAAGTGGAGAGAAGAGTCAAACTGGACCGGAATCGGACCTGAATGCGAACGCGTATGGTGAGTACGCTTGCCGACTATGAATCTTATTAGGAGCGTACAAATAAAATGGATAAATATTCGGTTTTAATGGGAAAAGAGAACTTTTTTCAACTTTTCATGGAGTGATACAAAACCCCAAATACGTTCTTCACGCCATTTGAATTAACTATACGTTAAATTATCAAGGCCTGAACCCTGCTGCAGTCAAGCAAGTAGTGTATATGGGTACAGACCATCTGAAAAGTAAGACAACACAATGAATGCGATTTTAATACAATTTTAAAGTCTGTTCATCCGCTTATTGAATCTTGGACGGTAGGTGTTTTAATACATCTATATAATTTACATATGCGTCCATTATTCCACTGACTTTTCTAATGATGTTTTTGTGAAACCTTGAAGTCGTTTTTCCCATACGTGTGCATGTTTAGTTCTCGTTATTCCCAAAAGACGTCTGTGGAATTTAAATCATTTGTGGATTATACCAACCTAAGGGAGATAGGTCGAATTGCACATCATGATCATCAACGTTTGTCGGACAAAATCACAGCACAGAGATGTTCCAAAGCTTTAATAGCCGACACTCCTGTCAACTGCCGTTCAGTTTATCTCCTTCGACTTAATGCCTCTGGAAAACTTGTCGCTGCTGCTCATGGCGACCGTTCTGTTTGTATTTATTGCGTTTCCAGTGGTCAGTTACTTTTGCGGTGCACCGGCCACGAGAAATCACCATGGACATTAGCCGTAAGTGTTTATGTAGTTTTTCGTAAAGTGATTTTAACAGTCTTTCGTTGAGTATTAGCTTGAATTGACTGCAGAGTCTATGATTCGCTGAACGGTTATTTGCTGTGTAATATCCAACCATTAGCCGAGGGATTTTCCTTACTGTGGTGCCGAAAATCTCACAAGGCATACATTTAGTGGACTGATGAAGTTTATTTCAGTATGAGTATTCGGATGTCGAGTAACCCTTCTGTATTGTACTTCATTGTGTCACCTAGACGAAATACGCTGCTATACTGAATATCTGTTGATAACCGTTTTGTGTTTTTCGACTCAATAGTACTGTTAAAGACAAAGAAACATGAACGAGCTATGGTTTTGGACACTTGTGTGTTTGGAACTATGCAAAGGTTGATTTTGAACGGATATTGTGATAATACATAAGAGTGAAGTACTTAACAGGTGATAAAATTCGTATTCTGAACACCCTCAGCGTAAATATCAGTATGTTTGATGTGTTTTTATCCTGTCACTAGCCAGATTTAGGACTGATGCTCACCAATATCCAGTTTAGAGATACTTAATGAACTCTTGGTCGGGTCGCCCCCACTTATTCGGAGTTACGTTATTCTTATTGATAGTTATTCAGAGTTCCTTAAGCCTGTAGTTGGTAACTTGTGTTAATGCGGGTCATATTTTATCTAATTATTCGCTCATACACACTCACTATGACTGTCACAGCTTCTGTTTCTTGATGTGTGACAGCTTAGTATGACACTGCTTATGTGAAGTTCAATGTAGTCACTCAACTTCGAAAAACTGGTCAGTCTACAAATGTTGCCAGGGAATATAGTGGGTGTTTTGGAAAATTTGTTGTGTAGACCTCACCTCTCGTCAGTTCATATGTAATTTTTTATTTAGTGGCAAACTTATAGACCTCTAACTCGATGTCCGTTGTTTATCTTTTTTATGAAGTTTCATCCTGTACAGCCTTACTTACTTGCTAGTGGATGCCTCGGTGGCAGTGTGAGACTGTGGAATTTGGATTGCTTAGCGAAAATTGGCGATGCGAAGAGCGAAGGAACTGCAGAGATTTCATCTGTGTGTGTTTGGAAACATTCAGGTGCAATTGCATCCCTCGCTTTTCACCATCTTCACCCTATATTAGTTGTTGCCTGGTGAGTCCTATCATGGTTATAATTCATCTTCTCCTTAAGATGCATATTATTATTATTATTATTATTATTATTAGGTATAATCTCAATTAGTTCAGTGTTCACTTAAGGTAAATGTAAGGGAAAGTAACACATTATTTACGTAAATACAGATATGGTGCAACTAGCTTTTAGCCATGAGTTGCATACGTGTTGGAATCATTTTCGTAAGCAGTGGTACTATGTCTATAGGGATCTGAATATTATACAGGCACTTAGACAAATAACAAGTAATCTTAAAGAACCTCAGTTATTTAGACTGAAGACCGTTAGGAGATCAGACGGAGTCAAAGTGTGCTCCTGAGCTCTTAAAGTTAAACTCATTTGTTCTGATGAGGAATTGTAACTAATTGCCACAAATATCATTGGCTCTTTAAATATGTGTACTGACTGCAAGCATTGTGTAAGCTCAAGCAAAATCATATGGGTACATTTCCATAATGCATAGTCTACGATCTAAACATTACATCATTCATCGCTACTTTGTTGATCAAGTTCGAATTCAATACTGTCAATTATTGTGGTTAGATTAATGCGTGAACCTAGAAGTTGCGTCCTACTTGATTGCTGATTGCAGTGGGTATTTTGTTTAGAAATTTGCCTGGTAAATATTTGTCCAGCCATTTTTTAAACTGATTCCCCGATAAAGTTTTGAGGTAGAGGTGAAGACCGAGCGACTTCACTAAGAAAATGACTTCGTTTACTGTGTACCGGTTCATTAGTAACGTTCTTTAAGTCTATACACATTTATAGTTCCTGAAGTGTTTATTGGAATTTCGTGCATAGTAGATCATGAATACGTGATACTCTGTTTTTCACACTAATTAACTTTGTGCTAATCGAAGGTTTTCGAAATTATTCGTTTATAGGACTCAAGAAGTGGTGTTTTATGATTGGGTATCTGGTCGAATGCTCTCAGTTTGGCGTTTTGTGTCCAATCACTCACGTGTTAGGTGGGTGAAATTCGCTCCTGATGGAACCGTCTTATACACAGCAACTGCCAATCCAACCAGTACTGAATCAACTCATGTGCATAAGTCACCTTGTCAAACAGTAAACAACAGTCCAACAAAAGTGGAACCCATTAAAGCATCCGTGAAGAAACCATTGGATTGTAGTAAGTTTTCTACCTCTTCCGCAAGGTATTTATTTTGACACAGCATATCTATAAGTAAACGCAAAGTCATTTTATACAGTGGTAGTAGCAGTGTTTTCGAAAAGGATTTATTTTTGAGTTTGAGAGTGCAATATTACTCGTGACTACTAATCTTTAATGCATTTGTTTCTGTTTAAATAAAAACATACTTTTGTGCGAGTGCTTTACAATTAAAAGACTTCGGTGTACTCGTTAACAGACGTAATAAAATTAGTGAAATTTTTTAATTCATTGAATAATAATATCTAGATCACTGAGTAAATTCTTAATATTTTCTGTCGTTTTGTTTTCTAGGTAACACCAGCGAGGCTGTCCAGAATACATGTAACGGTTTAGTACCTCGTGATGCTCTTCTAAGTTATCTTGCTAAATGCACTGATTCTTGGTTTCAAAACCTGAATATATGTCCTGTTTGTTCAGTCCGCTTATGTCGGTGGGCTGGGACTCTTGGACCAAAGTTTCCTGCAGTGACAACGGATATTCACTTAGGTATGTCAGTAGCGCAGCAAGCAGCAGCTGTAGCTGCTACCACCACTTCCGCGAACATGCTTCCTTCCCATGTTCAAGAGCTCCTCAATCTACGTAATCCAAACCGCCGTTCCGAAATATCTGAGCGTCTGCATCGTGATGCCAACCCGGCAGCTGTAGCCATAATTGAAGACATGCCGGTCCACGAATTCCTATTGTCAAGAGGTAACTATTGTCAATTTCCAAACGTTGCTATTCAAAACGGTGGTATATGTTGCGGTGGCCATGCTTGTGATTTGGTAATTACCCATCGTGATTTAATGCGTCATTCCCTATGCCGGCCTTGCCTGTCATCATTTTGGTGCTGGGCTAGTAAACATGTTGCTTGGTGGCGATGGTCATTTCCTACTAGCTCTGATCAGCCTTTGAGCCCGGTAATACGTGATATTAACAGAACATGTGGTCCACAACCTATTTCGGATGCCAAAGTAAGTGGGTGCTAAAGTAGCAATGTCCGAATATTTTTCATCTCCCTGAAATTTTAAAATAGAAACTGATTGTAGATAAATATTAAACAGATGGTTGATTCTGATGAGTCTATTTGCACAGCTAGAAGTGTTCATTTTTTAGCACCATGTAATCTCAGATCTTATTGTCAACAGATTCCTTGATTGAATAAAGATTAGGTAAATCTTGATAACTTTGACCCCATCATGTCGGTGTAGGTACTAGTAACTGATTTTGTACATTATAACAAACTCTTGACAGTGGTTGTGCATCCAGTAATATTACCGTTAATCAGCCGTAGACAGTAGAAATAGGAGAAAGCCAAACTCTGTATATTCATTACCACATAGATGCCATTTGTGTTTTCATGTAGATACCAGGCTTCTCTTGTTTATCGTCAGGAAAAAATATGTATTGGTTTTAAGCAGAGCATGTTTTTAAATCGTACTTTGACAGTAATAACCCCAGCGCATTTTTATTGCTGTTTTGTTTGAATTAGGGTACATCATGTTCATGTTAGAAATAATTACTTTAAACTCTAAGATATTTCTGGCCAGTCGTATGGAAACGGACATATTAAGCACCACATTGTATGTTAACTGCAAATCAACATAATGGTTGTTAAATATGAATGATAACAGTTTTCAAATCAAATTTCACTTCATTTGAGTTTACTACGACTAACAAATTGTCGAATGACATGTAGATGACTCTTGTGTAAATTACAACTATATAGGACTGTTATTCCATTCCCTATATGTACATGAAAATGACTCAGTTTAAATATTTATTCCCACAGGTTGATACTGTTCAGTATGTTTTAAAGAGTAATTGCTTGGTATCGATTGTTGTGCTGATGGAATATGTATATCTAAAAGTAGTTTTGAGACAAGTCTCTTGTGCTTCAACCATATCTCAGCCCACACTTCGTTTCATCAGCTTTAACTGTGCGTATTAAGAAATCTGTGGGCCGATTGAAACCTACAAGTGTTTCTCTTCTTCCTGCAACGTTTGATATATGTATCTGCACTTAACGTATAATTACTAGGTAACTGGGTTAATGCCTCAAATACTAATTCAATATTCAGTTTTATTACTTTGTATACAACAATTCCAATGTATCCGCTTCTCCAACATATTCGTCGTTACTGAATCAAGTCATGACTGTTTTTAAGTTTAATCCTCCGATACTCTGAAGTTTATTGGTGGTAAGAGTTGAATATAGTTTCTGCCCTTTTGTTTTACTTTTTGTGTATTAAGTCAAATTATTATTTCTTTATTATTGTTGAGCAACTCTTAATTTCTCTGCACTAATTCATATTTTCTCATATGCAGCAGAAATCAAATATCGTTGAAAAGTCTTCTGGAGTATGCTCTGTTGGCATTTGTATTCAGTGTCAAGCGAAAATGTCTTCCCAGTTACAGTCATCTTCAAGTTCTTCCGTATCGTCGCATGGAATTAGTTCTTTAACTCCTGTATCTAGTGTTGATACTGTTTCATCACATAGTGAAAAGTCTTCAAAATCCCATCACTTTATTCCACTTGCAGCACTGGATCTTTTGCGCTCAAGGTTGAGTAATGCCCATGAAGTGACTCCTATAACCTATGTAGCGACAGATTTAATCAGTGATTATGTTTTCTCTCAGTACATCAAGAAACTTTTGACTGTTGACCATTATTCTGGTATTAGTTTACCTCGAAACCTCTGGAACCCTGTGACAACTACTTACAACGATGAAGTAAACAACACAACTGTTTGTGTCTCTTCGTCCAAGGTAAGTTTATTTCCCCCCGAATGCAATTTTAGAGGTATTCTGTCACCAGGTCATTAAGATGTAGCCACAATAAGTATCTAGTCTGTGAAGTTGGTAACCAAGGGGAATACTATATTTAAGCAACGCAATATACAGCTAGTACTTGTTCGTCGGAACCTTATTATTAGATCTACCACCAGTGCAGGAATTTGTACAGATACTCTCCAGTTTATATGGTTGCAAGATCAAAATGTTTTAATCATATGCAGATCTCTAGTATAGAATTCCGATACAATAGTTGACAAGCTTTTGCGAACCGGTATGGTGTAACTCAGCACTCACGTTCAAATGAGTAAATTCAGTAACAAGCTGTACTATGCACGGCATTACGTACATTAGACGGTCTTATTTTTCTGGTTGAAAATCAAATAGTTTTCTGGAAACCAGTTACCATCTTTGACAAATAGAGGATTTGATATGTTTTGTTAAAAATTTACTTTGATTAAGTTTGTGATGCCAAATTTAAGATTGGACAATGGGTTTGGAGTGTTATACTATTTACGGTATTGCTAATTCCAGTTCATTTATTTGAATGATATTTTTAAGTGATGGTGATTATTGTTTTTCTGGGTAGATTTGAAGTTTCTAAATTTCATTGCTTTCGGCAGGTTCTGTGATTTAATTTATTTCCAACAGTTTACTTCTTTAGACGGATTCATCTTAAATCAGGAAGTCTCAGAAAATCTTTTTAAATTGCTGTAGTTCACAACAGTATGGAGTAAGCGAATCAAACATATGTAGTATAGCATCAAAACGGATAGGGATATAAGGGAGAAAGAGAGTAAAATGGATTACTGTTAGTTTTCAGGTTGCCTGTTTCATCTGCAGCTACTAATTCCTAGTAATATCCTGTAAATATCATCGCATATAATTCATTCTGAGCAAAAACTTGATGAGTGAATACTGCTACCCTTAGATTCATTCTTAAACTGATACATTTGCTTCTAAAAAGCTTTATATTTTAAAATAACATTTCTACACCATCGTAGTAAACCTAGGTCCACAATCTTATAGACTGATGCTCAATAATTGCTTCATTGTTTCCTGTGGTTCCAACAAATGTCAGCAATGTTATAAAGAAGTTTCTAGTTGGAAACTAATTCATTTTTATTCAGTACTCTGAAGTCAAGTTTAGGTCGTTCTATAAGGCTGTAACTACCAATATGCGCATTAACGAAAGCAGATTAAATTTACTACCAACTGTTGTTGTCATATAAACTCCATGAAACATTTTTACATTATACACTGTAACAACTGGAGACTACCTACCCAAAGTGTTGCAAACTGAACTGACGCTCCTTTTTTTGGTCAAATGTCGGTGTCAACGGTCATTCTGCCTTCATTTTAGCTAATACTGCATCATAAAACTAGTATTTCAGATTTATTCACAGCATTAGTAACTATAATAATCAGTGGAGCAACTGTTTGCTTATTTTCCTCTTACAGCGTCGGAAACTAGATCACCCCTTACAGAATCAGTCTGTGTTGAATCACGTGAATAATCACTCGTCGTTAAATAGTCTTCCTGAGTGCCAAGCACTAGATATTTATTCTAATACAAACAGTGGAATTTTAGAATGTAGTCCAAGCACTTCCACAACGTGTGAACTCCAGTTGCCTCAGGAAGCTTCTGATTTGGGTACATATATGCGTGATAACCCTGATAACGATTGGAACTATCCGCGTCCAGCTGCCGTTCATTGCTCTTCGAAACTTTCATCCTGGGTGCCCTCACTAATTTTTCCATACGTTCAAGGTGGGGCTTCTCTTCTAAAATCTCCTCGTCACGTGAATAGTTCTTCATCGCAACTAGTACTCGGAAATCCTGTTTCACAGTGTTCACGTACAAGCAAAAGTCCTGAGAACGAAACACAACTTACAGATGTTTGTAATGCTGATTATGACGAAGGTAATATAAGCCTAACTTTTAGTAATTTTAATAATCATATTTATGTATTATATTTTGTTGTGCCTGTTGTATTAAAGCAATTAGTCATCTTATTGTTTCAGATCCTAGATAAGGTAAGTCGATGCAAGTTATTTACGTTTAAGACTAATACAAGTTAATGTTGACACTCACGTTCTATTACATTTAAGTTATCTTTGAGTACTCGTGGGCTAACAGGCTAAAAACTCTACCTGCTTTAGTCTCGAATGATTTCTGACTTTTGAATGCCACTATGATGAACAGAGTTTTAAGAGCGGTTATAAGAAATCAGTAGCAATAAGTAGTTAGTTCAGAAGAAAATTTAAAAACAATAGTCGAAAGATTGGTAATTTACAAATCACTAACTACTGATAAAGCATGAGGTGACATTAAAAGTTCACTTCGAGCAAAGTATTCATGTCCTTGCCCCACTTGTAAGCGGTATTCCACGATGTCACGCAGGCCAATCATGTATTCATGTCACTCCTGAAAACGTCATAGTATAAGTAACACATATAGTATACATCATACTACATTACACCCACTCGTCGGTGGCATAGTGGTTATGACTCTGGCCGACCATGCACATGGTCTGGGGTTCGATCCCCTGCCGACGCACACCCGATATCTATGGTCGGCCTGTGAAAATTTGGGCTACCGATATCCATGCTGAAAATGCCATATTTGTACTGAAAATACGGTGTGGCATCAAGCTGTAATCAAAAATAAAAAACTTTCTGCTATGATGTACTTGATCTTAAGAGGGTTGGTCCCTGAAATATTCATATGCTATCACTGGCGCGGTGTTTTTCATTTCGCAACATGCACATTTTGAGAATACAACTCTCCAGTCTCGCTTGTTCTCATGAAGTTTCAGCTCTGCGATCATCTAACCCTAATCGTCTATTATATATGGTTGACGTTAACTCACTAATTATCACAGGTTGGTTTGTGACTGTCACAAAGTGAAGTAGAAATACCACTCATTAGGAATATAGGCACATCCAACTGATGAATCCCAATTGGGACGGAATGGGTATCCTACATTCCATTGCCAGTCACCATGTACTGTGTAATGTAAATGTAGAACTTGGGTACTGTGGTAGAATGTAATTCCATATTATATAAGTTTATTTTAAATATCACACAGCGATGCAGTACTAACAACTGGATGACATTTCTAGCACAATTTATTGCTCATAATCATCAGTTTAGTCACATGGTTTCACAATTTGTCTTTATCTATATATTTTTTCTGTCTCTCCAACTTCCCATTGTCGTTTGTTGGAGATATGGAAAGTGGTAACAAATAACAAAGGGAATTCGGAGAGACAAAAAATATATAGATAAAGACAAACTGTGAAACCATGTAACTAAATTGATGATTATGAGCAATAAATTGTGCTAGAAATGTCATCCAGCTGTTAATACTGCGTCGCTGTGCGATATTTAAAATAAACTTATCTAATATGGAATCATATTATCCTAACAACAAAGAAACAATCGGTCATTTTCCGGTGGGTTCAATGCATAGGTAATTTCAGAAATTTCACCTTTCTTGTCTGGTCTCAATAGAAATCCTGTCGAACTTTATTATCTCTCTGCTATTCAGCCAATTATGAAATTGTAGTTTTGCATGCGTAACTTCTGTTAGACATTCCTGTAGGGACCATTTGCTGTAGGGACTTGTGATCAGTTCTCATTTGGAAACCTTCACCAAACAGATAAATTCTTCAGTTGCTAAACGTTCCTACCTGGAGTAATTTTGCTTCAAAGCTGATGATACTGGTTTGTTGAGCGTTACTCAACTTAGATGAGTAATTGGCATACTGAAATCTTCATTAAATATCTTATTTATTTAGAATAAAGTCTTTCGATCGCCGAATTTCTACTTCTATATCTTTCTTATTGGATTTTAGCTTATGATAGAAGTTCAATGACAGCGTGTTGTCGCTGTGGCCATATTGTTCTTCGAACATTTCCCGTTGATCCGCATTCCAATTTGAGCGCAGCAGTGTGTGAAAAACTAGTTTGCGCGGAAAACCAGTCCAATGACTCAGCAAATCAGAGTGGTCCTTCAGATTCTAATGATTCAAGCTCATCGTCACGTTCATTATATCAGTCTGATCCGTCTTCATCGCATCCTCATTCATCTATCTCGACACGTTTGACTACTCATTGTAGACAAAGTCAATCTGGTGCTGGGAAATCAAATAGCCCTGTCCATCTTATGGAACACAATGGGAATAACTCTGTGTTAAATGTGGTGAACCGTGGCATAACTGAAGTCATAACAGGTTTGTTTATCGATATGGGGGAATATGGCTCTGCATCCAATCTTCAAGTAAGTTATCCTAACTTAATCAATATTGTCCACATTTTTTGATATTGTGTTATTATTAGTACTACTATAGTGGATACTTAAGTACTTAATACTAACCGCAATTTATCGATCGGGTGGACGAATGATACTAATCTTTTTACGTTAATTGACTACGGGCAATTGGAAGTGATTATTTAAGGACACGTTTGATTGAAAAAGCACTGCATACATGAGTTTCACCAAGGAGAACGACTTGAGTTTGTGGTAATTGAAAATCTTAGTATTTCATACAATCAACGCGTGTGTGATCTTGCGTTGCATATAAAGTTACTGTTTAAAAAATTCAAGGGATTATTTTTGTTTTGAATCTTATTATATCCAGTAGAGTAGAAACGAGAAGAGCCTGAAATCAGATGTTATCTAGGTGTGTTTAGATCGAACTGGCAAGTGTATGTACTCAAATGTTATGAATACTCTACTTATTAAAGTACACCTGAAGCTTTTTTTATTTATTTGATGAGATGTTTAGACTAACTAGTTTTCAGGTTGATAATTTTTCATTTTAACCCTGTGGTTTCAAGAATATTTTTGAGACTTCATCGTTCTTAAATTTATCTAACTTGTCAATCTTTGAACGCTCTTTTACATACTGAAAAGGCAATTAAAATGTCTGTGGATGAACTTTGGTTGATGTTGAGTCTAATGCCTTAAATCACATCCATAGTGACATTCTAGTGCTGGTGAATTATGTACGTTTGACATCAATGTCAACATGGAAACTGGCATTTTTGTGTTCGATAGTCTGAGTTCCCAAACCATGCATCAGGGGAAAGGTAACCAGGAGAAGTGTAATGTAGTTGAAAAATGTCATCAAAATAGATAAGGTAAAGCAAATAATGTAAACTTCATGTTTCAGATGAAGATATCAATGCATCTGCATTTACTGTCATTGACTCTAATATATGGGTTCTCTAACCATTGGTTTCATCTGTTTTGTGATAGACAACTAGGAAACCTATGTTCTGCCATACGTCCCAACATTCAGAGACTCTGGGGATTTAATTTATATCTAAGAAGTATTCTATGTATTAATGTATACAGTTTATCTGGCGATGAATCACAACAGTCTATTGTCATTTGGAAAGCTGTTCAAACTAATGTTTTTGTCGTTTAAGTATAAAAATATTTCCTTATCAGCTGATGTTCGTATGTATTGTAGTAGGTGGTAATCTAGTTAATCTAGTGAAGAACATTGTTTACCCGAATGTGGCTTTAGTAAAACTTTCATAGTTGTCGGTTAATGGCCAATACGTGAAGCATCTTTAGTCGTACTTTCAACTCTCCAAGCAACCAAATTGTCTAGTTTTACCATCCTTTGCAGTTGCTCATTTTGATTAGCTTTAGGACAGTCAATTGTAATTAACTCTGAAAAAATACAGTATGTAGCCGTAGTCGGACCTATTTATGGTTTGTCGTTCCAAGTATCGTTTAGCAAATATATTCTAAAGTGATTTACTGGTGTATACGTCATTATTGACTCTAAAATGTTCGTAATAAAAACCTATTTTAGAACGTTTCTCCTGAATTTTGACTCATGAATTGTTTCCTTTTTTAGGATGTAACATATCGTATATGTCGATGGGAATTGAGTTTGTGCAGCTCTGCTCACAGCATCCACCGAGAATGCACTGTATCTGATGAAAGTCGTGAAGATCTCGACGAAAATGATGGGACTAAAACTTCATGCTTGCCCATGCCGACGAATGTTGCTGTGTCTTACAATAACAATAGTCTTGTTGTCCCTCATGCTCGCTTGTTTAATGACTCATCGATTTGTATCTCTCCAGATGGTCGGCTTCTTGCTGCATTCGTCATTCCTCGAGAAACATCTTACTCTACATTACAGTCCTCATCAAATATACTGAAAACTATTCTGGCTGTATATCGTTTACAACCAGAGCATAATCGTGGGCAGTGTCTTTTTAGCCGCCATTTTGCTGCACTGAGTCCAGTCTGTCTTGACTTCAGTCCTATGGGAGATTATCTAGCTGTAGGTTTTGCAACAACTCGCATACCTTCAGAATCCTACTCTTCCGTAAGGCAAGCATCTGTTAATAGAGATCTTATAAGTTATGGCGATTCAACTTCTCTTGAATCATCGAATTCTCAGGAATCAAACATAAAATATTCTGATCAGAGACAGTCTTCGGTCGGTAAGTACTAGTTATTTTTAGATTTATAATATTTCATGGGAAATCTTATTAAACAAAGTACAGAATGTATGTAAGGTGATGTGTAGTTCAGTGACTTTTGGGATGTGTAATTCTCTTCACAGATGTATTGTTTTGGGCTTCATTTACCAATTTTGTTGACTTTCTAATCTTGTCTTACGGTGTGTGTCTAACAACCGTGGGGATTCCAAATCATCTCGTGACCATTAAAATAGTTGTATAAGATAAAAATAATCGAGAATGGTTTATTACAATCAATTTGGTGTGTAGGTTAATCGTTGTAATGGTGTTTATTTGGTTAACAGCATCCGAACAATTTTTAGCGTCAGCACTGCAATGCAAGTTATTTTACATCCTTACGTGATAGTTAAAGAGTAATGTCAACAAACGATAGTCTCACACTTAATCTTCATCTTAAAAGTTTATTACTAGGTGGGAAGTTATTCCACGTAAACAAATGCATGCATTAACCTCTGAAGCAATATTAAAGTTGAGCTTAAAATACCAATGGGGACAGGTATTACGTATAGCTGTTCACTCTTTTATTCGATGGTCATTTAGTCGACAGAGAATCAGGTCGAAAAAATGCTGTAAGTTGCTAGGCCATGACAGCACCAGGTCATCTAGTCGCCACCATCTGTTTGTCTCATTCATTCAATAAAGTGCAGACTGAATATGTGTGATCTGAAGTAACATTTTATCAGTCTGTCCTACAGTGCTCTCAATTTCATGTAGGCTTTGTTAGTTGAGTATCACTATGTTATAATGACTCATGGTAACTTGGATTCGTATATTGCTGTGCAGGTCCCATGCTAAGGTATACTTGTTTTGGTATTTCCCACACGTTACTAATTGAAATCTTCGGTAGATGTAAAATCTTATTTTTATCAATGTGAAGTAGTATGTAATTCGATATTAATTTGTTCATTGTATATATCACACAGGGAAACAGTTATGCACTGGATGACGTTTAGAGCACCATTTATTGTTCATAACCATATCGTGATTATGTGTTTCCTAATTTTTGTGAATGCGCATTTTTTCCTATTTAAGACTCGTCAGCTGGATGTACTTGCATTCTCAGTGAGTGATGGTGTTCCCACTGGGACTCTATCTCAGTCAAACGTTGGGGAGTTATCCACTAGACGACTTGAGCCATGAGAGCCACCCCTTGTACAATGGACATCACTGGGAATGCAGGTAAATTCAGCTGATGAGTCCCGAATAGGAAGAAATGGGAATCCCAGATTCCACTGCTAGTCACCATCTACCGAAATTACTTCAAGTTGATCCTCAGACATTGTCGAAGCGTTGGCAATAGGAGCCAACATGTCAACAGAGCCTGGGCAATTCGGTCTGATCAGTCAACAGGAAAATCAAAATTAATTTATGAACAAATAATGATATATTTGGTAGTTTACTAGTCTCGTGAAGAAATTTAAACAAAAATGTGAATAGATAATTAATAAAAAATTGGGAGCCAACAACTCTGCTGCGAAAGTTTCAAGGTGCAAAAGAAATATCGAAAATAATTGTAATTTTGAATGTAACTATTGGTGTAATGCTAATTCTTTATTTCCATCCACTAATCAGTTTCTTTTAAATATTTCCAATCTAGCTAGTGTTTTTCATCTTGAACGTGTCAAAAACCCTAAAAATCAACGTGTTTCTCGGTGCTTGCGTGATATACAGAATATTAAACACCCTGCACTTTTGGAACCGATCTCATCAAGATATATTGAGAATTCTGAGACATCAGTAGACAAGTTGGATCGTTGGCATCGTCTATTACTTTCTGCTCCCAGTGGTCTCTCTTTAAATACCATTGTTTGGAATACCAATGGTAGCATTCTCTATGGTACTACAAAAGGCCTCATCGTAATTTCACGTGGTAATTCGTCTTCTTCAATATCTGTTCTCCCACTCGAGTGTACTAAATCACACTTCCAGTCTGCCGATGAGTGTGAAGTTTCCTATAGAAGAAAGTATTTTATTAATCGAACACAGCATATTCCTGATTCACATAATAATCTTCCTATTTCCCAGCGTCATATAGCAATTTAACATACCAGCTTCTTTTTCCCATTTATGTATGTATGTTTAGGTTTATTGTGCATTTAGTTTATTTTAATTTCCTGCTCATTTTAATGGCCTGTCAACAGCCGTAGTCTTATGTTATACTCAACAATAAAAATAGAACATATATTGAACTCCAAATTTCACATTCAGAGTATTCATCTACTTCATTTTCTCTCTCCAGAAACCGGTGGTGATTAAAATAAAATTTATTTTTTATATTTTCTAAATGTTGTTGTTATTCTCTTTTTTTCAAAATAATAAACTGTTACCCTATACTCACTCATTCACGTTCATTATGCGGAAATGTTTCCCTTTTTTTTGTAAAACAGATTTTACTTAATATCAACTTTATAATTTATAGCATTAAAACACTCATTATGGACTTTTCCTAGCAAAACAAAAATACTGTGCGGTGTTTCTTTTTTTTCTTGTTTTATCCACGTTTTGTCGAAGCAGAACTTATTACATTGTTAATTGTTTTCTACTGAAGAAGGATATAAACAGTGTTATATACTATTCACTAACCATAGTTGTTATGGAAAGTTTGTTTTATTCTGATCTACCCACCTACCTCAGGTATTTCCCAGTGATGTTTCCCGGCTCAGTTTATACTTTTACTTTGAAATTAATAGGTCACTTCCCTTTCAAATATACTCAGTTTGAAGTTATGCATAGTGTTTTATTGACTTTTATGATAACGATAGTAACAAAATTAGCTACAACCTTGATGTTTGTTAAATATTCCTTGGTTGGGATTGTAGCTTGTGATGATATTTTTGTATAACCTTTAGGTGAATTATTCCCGTATGGAATTTACTTTCATCTGCTTACATTGTTCCTATCGTTTACTGCCACTTAGTAGTGTTCATATTATCAAGGTTGACATTGGATGAAAAAACATACGGAAAAGTTTTCATCTTTGTAGGAAGAATGTTATCTTCGTATATGACAAATTCCGGATGCATTATCTCGGATCTAAGTGTTTCAGACACTAGTTAGGCTTGTCACATCTATGTCTAAGCTTCACATCACACTTTGAAAATTTAGACGATAATAGTAATTAGCCTAACGCGGATCAGTGTCTCTTCTGTGCACCATCCATAAGATATATCGGTTTTTAGTGTTTGGAATTATATTACTTCATTATATAGGGAAGATGTAACTGTAGAGCTGTGATTTGATATTTTATGGAATTGAATGTGGTTCATTCCGAGAAACTTGGTTGATAAGTCTCCTAATCACAGACAGCATATACTACCTATTTAACTTCTTATGGGAGATATTTTACTCTGACAGTTTTCTTTGATTAGGGATCACTCGAATGTGTAATCCAGTGAACTCGAATTCAGATATCCCTTTTCATATGTCTTGTGATTGTGAATGGATCAATGTTCATCATAGTTCTCCCCAAATGTTAACGATTCAATATTCTCCTGATTATTAATTGGTTTCTGTTCTTCGCTTGCCTTTATTCCAGCACTATTGATATAAAAACAAACCTATCTATCATCACTTTTCAAAATCCTTTGAGCATGATTTCTTGAAATGACATATTTTCTTGACCTTAAGGCGGCATTCGATTCTGTCGACCGAGAGGTACTCTGGTGATGCTTGGCTGTAAAGAGAATGCCGAGAAAATACATTGCACTGGTCAAGTTACTCTACTCGAATTCATGTAGCCGGGTGAGGGCTTACGGTGAGTTGTCATGTGAAGTGGTGACGACTAGTGGTGTCCGTCAGGGATGCCCATTATTCCTATTCAATTTCATCATAGATGTACCAATGGACTTTATTCACTTCAGGGATTGATTTTCTACCAGGGAGTAATCTCGTTGACTTAGAATATGCAGACGATATAGTCCTTCTAGGCAAGGACGCTGACAAAATGCAGGGTCTTCTGAACACCTTGAGCTACAATCTACGAATGTTTGGCATGCGATTCACTCCCGCCAAATGCTACATGGAGTGTGGCGACTTGAACTGCCGCACATAGGTGCAAAGTTCTATGTCGAATACAGACAGACAGAAATGACATCTAAATACAATCAGACTTGTGGGGCTCCGGATCATTGGTCTAGGTGGTCGACTTCCAACCACATTTCCGAAAACTGCCCCATCTACTGATGTGTGGGCAGCCAGATAGTATCCCTAGCTCATCAAAATAGACTTGGCTCATTGCCAACCGCTTGGACAGGCAAATGATTGTTGAATAATATATCATTTCACACTTACAATTTGTGTATGATAGGAGTCTGAGATTGTCATAAATCTAACTGCTGGATTTCAGCCAACGATTAAAAGTAATTACTTTCGAGATGTGCTTCTCTGATTCTCAGTGGGTTTGCTGGAAGTGGACTGTGAGAATTCTAACTTCTACCCATTCGTGATTTTTAGCGCGACCACCAACCAATGTCATCGGTGGGAACTCCATCCTCACTCCCAACTGGATGGACCTGACTGGTCACGACTTTTCACTAGAACTCCAGGAAACTCTGTCCTGTAGCAAGTCATTAGGGAGTTTTGTAGGGATTTCGGTTAATTTCAATGTATATTTCCTCACAAACCTAAATGAGTTGGAGGATGACTGAAAATCAGGGAGCATTAGACATAGACAGCAACATAAAGGTAAATCATATCAGCAGTTGGAAAAAAAATCGTTTCAGCGAAAGTGAAAAAGAAGGTGAGGTCTGCGTAAACAAATTTCACATCTGCATTCGATCACCTTTATCTTCCACTAAACAATAGAATAAGTCATACCAGAAAGTGAATAGGAGATGTACATAAAATATGTCCCGATCATCTGTGTGAATGAAGATGGATAGAATTATCACTTCTGCCTAGTGATGGTTACTCAAGGTGTCTACTGCTGCAATGAATGATCGTACGAAGACAACTGCGATCAAATGTCACACACAAATATCGAGTTCGAGCTTACTTTTTCGCATTATGTATTTGCTCTTTAATAGACATCGGCATCATATCTAAGGCACAATGGTGATATCCGACTATCGACCAAAGGGCGTGTGTACTGCTCAACAGTCCGCTCCGTCCTCCTTTATGGCTGTGAGACCTGGCCATTGAGAGTGGAAGACATGAAAAGATTAGCTGCCTTCGATCATAGGTGTCTGCGTTCTATCTCCCGCGTGAAGTGGTATGATAAGGTGAGCAATATTGAGGTTAGGCGTCGAGTGCTAGGTAAGGCGGGGAAATCAATAGACGAAACTGTGAAATTACATCGACTGAGATGGTTAGGACATGTGTTACGTATGCCTAGTCATCGCCTTCCTCGACGGGAAATGTTAGCTGATATAGGGTCAGGCTGGAAAAGAGCTAGCGGCGGTCAAACGAAAACATGGCACCAGTCAATGAAATCCACAACAGTTAGTCTAAGCCACGTAGGAAGGTGTAGACTTCCTGACCGGCTGGTTGGGGTCCTCGGGACGGTAAAAACCAATGGTTGGAAACAATTGGTGACATGGCTCAAAATCGTTCTCAGTGGCGCAGATGCATCCACTCCTTGTGACTTATGATTTCCAATGAAACTGTTTTGTTCTTCGTTATTACTATTCCTTTATCTCACACCTCTGTTTACTGTCTATATTATGCATTTCTCCTACTTTCTTCTCTTGCTTTGTGTGCTACAAGAAGGGAGTGTGGCGACTTGAACTGCCGCACATATGTGCAAAGTTCTATGTCGAAAACCGACCGACCGAAGGCACAATGAGAAAAGTTATCTGTAAATATTTCGTTAACCGGGAATTCAGTATAGGTCAGTTCAAAGCAATAATTAGTAATCAAAAGTTCTGACAAAACAATAAGATCTTATCTGAAAAGTGTAGTATAGTTGCGCAATACATTTTGAACCTTCTGATCACGCACACACACAGTTTTCATATATATTTACAAAAAAGGTAACAGTATAAAAGATAATTTTATCTATATAGGTCAAAATGTTTACAAGTCATATGCAGACTATCATTTAAAATAATAGAGAAGATTTGTAGCTCAGGTGGATGATTTGCAATTAATAGTGTTCTCTGAGCTGGTTGGTTTGGTTGCGGAACTTTCGTCGTCCTTCTGGGCAACATCTTCAGCGAAATATTTAGCATAAAGTGAAATGATTTAAATTTCTTCATGAGTGATATAATTGCGTCTCCCGGTAACCATCTTTACATATGTATTGACCATTTTCCATTGACTTGGATTTTAAACTTTCTGGTCACCTGATTTACTTTTTATTAGTTGGTATATTTCGTCTATATTAACGTGTTTGTTAATTGCATTTTCGTTTGAGTACCAGGCTTCTAGGAATTCCCTGGCACTTTTGGTGTTTCCTCTGTCTAAGATTTCGACATTATCCCAATCAAATTGATGTCCATAATTGTCTATATGCATTGATACTAAAGAATATATATCGTGTCTTTTCACGGCTGATTTGTGTTCTTGGATTCTGATTCGAAGGGGACGCCCACTTTGGCCGATGTAATGCCTGTTACAGTTCATACAATTTATTTTGTGAATGGTATTAATTTTATCTCCTTTTTCTGTTGGATCTTTCGGTTTGCATAATATCGAATTAGGCGATTTGACTGGCTTGTGTGCTATATCTATATCAAACGGTTTCAGTATTCTAGCTGTTATTTCAGAGATATTTCTCATGTATGGTAGAATGAATTTTCTTGTGGTCTTTGACGATGGTTTCTTGTTGGTGTTTTGATTCGACTTTAAACACTTTTTGATGAAATTTTGTGGATAACCATTCTTTTTGAAGACCGTTTGTAGGTATTTTTCTTCCATTCTTTTCCACTGAAGATGTTGTCCAGATGGACGACGAAAGCTCCACAAGCAAACCAAGCAGCTCAGAGAACACTATTAATTGCAGACTATCATTTAGCATCTTTTCTTAACAGAAAAAGTGTAATAATCCTTTATTTTAGGTTCAAACTTGCTTACAGAAAATTTCCAGAATCCTACTTCACCTATGT